TCTTTCACCCCCTAGGGTATTATTTCTCTTTCACCCCCTAGGGTATTATTTCTCTTTCACCCCCTAGGGTATTATTTCTCTTTCACCCCCTAGGGTATTATTTCTCTTTCACACCATAGGGTATTATTTCTCTTTCACCCCCTAGGGTATGACATCAAAGGAACAAACAGATATGATGTCTCTATCAGCTCTCGGCAGGAGATGCAAGTCAGGATCCAAAACATATTACAAATGCTGAAAATTTGCTGTTATCAAAATGGTGTTGGAATGGTGGGAGAAGAATAATCATCCTCTATCTTGAAGGTGCACCGGAGAAATCTCCAACCCTCCAGGTGATGATTTGGTTGAGTAACCCTTGGCACAGCCTCATGTTAGACAACCAAAAAATCCCCCCGGGCTGGTGATTTCTCTGTCACACACTTAAGATAAGGAAAGAACATTATATTAATCCTTAAAACCCTGGTGGGACAACCAAAGTAGTGATGTTTGAAAAGTTTGACAACCTGATTAGTGTCGCAGGATAGTGGAACAACCAAGGTAAGTATGGCTGAAACAACCAATAGTATTTGAATATTGGGATAATGATGGTGGATGGACAGAGGGGCGGAGTCAGGAGTTACAAAGTGTTGGTAACAGTTAGCAAGATTAAGTTACAAGTTATAAAGTGTTAGTCACAGTAAAGGGACTGAGTCACAAGTTTTAAATTGTTAGTCACAGTAAACAGGAGAGTTAGTCACAGTAAACAAGACAGAGTCATGAGTTCTAACATGTAAAGCACAGTTAACAGGAATGAGTCAAGATTTCTAATGTGTTAATCACAGTTAACATGACTGAATAAGGAGTTATAAATAGTTTGTCATAGTAAACAGGACTAAGTCACAAGTTTGTAATTGTTAGTCCCAGTTAACAGGAATGAGTCAGGAGTTATAAAGAGGTAATCACAGTAAACAGGACTGAGTCATGAGTTCTAACATGTAAAGCACAGTTAACAGGAATGAGTCAAGATTTCTAATGTGTTAATCACAGTTAACATGACTGAATAAGGAGTTATAAATAGTTTGTCATAGTAAACAGGACTAAGTCACAAGTTTGTAATTGTTAGTCCCAGTTAACAGGAATGAGTCAGGAGTTATAAAGAGGTAATCACAGTAAACAGGACTGAGTCATGAGTTCTAACATGTAAAGCACAGTTAACAGGAATGAGTCAAGATTTCTAATGTGTTAATCACAGTTAACATGACTGAATAAGGAGTTATAAATAGTTTGTCATAGTAAACAGGACTAAGTCACAAGTTTGTAATTGTTAGTCCCAGTTAACAGGAATGAGTCAGGAGTTATAAAGAGGTAATCACAGTAAACAGGACTGAGTCATGAGTTCTAACATGTAAAGCACAGTTAACAGGAATGAATGAAGAGTTATAAAGAGTAAGTCACAGTTAACAAGGATGAGTCAGGAGTTATAAGGAATTAGCCACAGTTAACAGGACTGAGTCATAAGTTATAAAGTGCTAGTCACAGTTAACAGGACTGAGTCATAAGTTATAAAGTGCTAGTCATAGTTAACAGGACTGAGGCACATGTTATAAATTGCTAGTCACAGTTAACAGGACTGAGTCATAAGTTATAAAGTGCTAGTCATAGTTAACAAGGATGAGTCACAAGTTATAAAGTGCTAGTCACAGTTAACAGGACTGAGTCAGGAGTTATAAAGTGCTGGTCACAGTTAACAAGGATGAGTCAGGAGTTATAAAGTGCTAGTCACAGTTAACAGGACTGAGTCAGAAGTTATAAAGTGTTAGTCACAGTTAACAGGACTGAGTCATAAGTTATAAAGTGCTAGTCACAGTTAACAAGGATGAGTCATAAGTTATAAAGTGCTAGTCACAGTTAACAGGACTGAGTCAGAAGTTATAAAGTGCTAGTCATAGTTTACAAGGATGAGTCACAAGTTATAAAGTGCTAGTCACAGTTAACAGGACTGAGTCAGAAGTTATAAAGTGCTAGTCACAGTTAACAAGGATGAGTCATAAGTTATAAAGTGCTAGTCATAATTAACAGGACTGAGTCAGGAGTTATAAAGTGCTAGTCGTAGTTAACAAGGATGAGTCACAAGTTATAAAGTGCTAGTCACAGTTAACAGGACTGAGTCAGGAGTTATAAAGTGCTAGTCATAGTTAATAGGACTGAGTCACATGTTATAACGTGTAAGTCATAGTTAACAGGACTGAGTAACAAGTTATAAAGTGCTAGTCACAGTTAACAGGACTGAGTCATAAGTTATAAAGTGCTAGTCATAATTAACAGGACTGAGTCAGGAGTTATAAAGTGCTAGTCACAGTTAACAGGACTGAGTCACAAAATATAAAGTGCTAGTCACAGTTAACAGATAAATGAGTAAGGAGGTGTAAGTTTTACCATAGAGTTTCGTCTGTATTAAAGAATAAAGTGATAACCATGTAAGATAGATTAATTTGCAGTTAACTTATTGTTGTTACAATTGTTTCAGATATTGAGAGGTTCACACAAATGTGGAAGAATTGAGCATTTAATGGTGGCTGGCCAAACAGGTGCTGACATGGACCGAGTCACAGACATCAAGAATTCTGGACATTGTCCACTGGAGGTTGTAGAGATGGAACCTGGTGAGATCACACGCTACCACATATTTAATCCTCTCTCATTTAGGGACAATGTCTAGCTTGTAGTACATAGCTGAAAGTTAAGAGGAACATATCTCACTGTAAAAGTGGCTGTGTTGGTATATTTTTTACATGCTTCACATAAAAGTCATAACTCCCAGAATGTCTGTGCTTAGCTCACCTGTTCCGCATATGCCATACCGCAGCGTCCGTTCGTCTGTCAACTTTTCCTTTAAAACGCTACTTGTCCTGAACAGCCCAGTAGATTTTGACTAAATTTGGCCTGGAGCATCCTTAGGCTAAGGGTTCTCAATTTTTTTATAAACAGTGGGTGTGGCCCCTCTGGAGGCAGAGGAGTGGACCCCAATAGGGGAATAAGAGATAAAACCTTAAAAATCTTGCTTTTATCGAAGGGAAAAAGGGATTTTATCCTGATTTAGTCTGGAGCATCCTTGGGCCAAGGTAACTCAATTTTGTATTTATGATGGGTTGATGGGTGTGGCCCCTCTTTGGGGCAGAAGAGTGGGCCCCAATAAGGGAAAAAGAGAAAAAACTTTTAAATCCTTCTCTTACCTTAGGGAAAAAGGGATTTTATCCAAATTTGGCCTGGATCATCCTTTGGCCAAGGGAACTCAATTTTGTATAATTGGCGTGGCCCCTTTGGGTGCAGAGGGGCAGGGATCAAAAGGAGAGTTGCAGGTTTAAATCTTCAAAATTCTTATTCTTCTGTAACAGTGGCAGAATTTTATCCAAATTTGGCCTGGAGTATCCTTTGGCAAAGGGAACTCAATTTTGTTTAAACAGAGGGTGTGGCCCTTCTGGGTGCAGAGTTACAGGGGCCAAATAGGGGATTTTAAGGTTTAAGTACCATTGGAGGGATTTTTTGCAATAAGAATAATTTGCCATGGTTGCTTTATTATCCCGGTGAGCGATACAGGCCTCTAGGCCTCTTGTTGTAGTCTACGATGTAATGTTTGTAAAATAAAAGTTGTTAGAATAGAGAGGTAGAAGCTTTACAGTGCATTCACATGTATGCTGAAGGTTACAGTATAGAGGTTACCGGGTACAAACAACGAGATAATAAAATATAGACATTAAAGTATACTGGAGAGTATGGTCTAGTTCTGTCATTAATAATGTACAATATTCATTAAAGCAGCACTATATATTAACACATGGCACTTTTCTATCATTTAATGAAATTCTAGAATAATGTCATAAAATATTGTTTATACAAATTTAAATATATGATGCAATATTGAACAATATATCACAAAATGTGTTCTATATTTTGCTTTTAAAGGTGATGCTCTTTTTTTCCACTGCAATCTGCTTCATACCAGTGGACCAAACTTCAGTCCACATAGACGATGGGCATTCCTCACCGCCTACAACAAAGCGTCTAATGACCCGGTCCTTGTTCACCATCACCCCCAGTATACACCTCTACACAAGGTACAGCTTACATTTTGTTTTATTATACCGGGTCCTTGTTCAAAATCATTCCCACTATAAACCTCTACACAAGGTACAGCTTACATTTTGTTTTATTATACCGGGTCCTAGTTCAAAATCATCCCCAGTATACACCTCTACACAAGGTACACCCTACCTATTGTTAGTTCACCTGGTCCAAAGGACCCTGGTGAGCTTATGCCATACCACAGCGTTCGTCGTCCGTCGTCCGTCCGTCAACTATTCCTTTAAAACGCTACTTGCCCTGAACGGCCAAGTAGATTTTGACTAAATTTGATCTAGAGCATCCTTAGGCCAAGGAGACTCAATTTTGTGTAAACGATGGGTATGGCCCCACTGGGGACAGAAGGCGGGGCCCAATACGGAAAATAGAGGTACAAATGTAAAACCTTTAAAATCCTTCTTCTACCGAAGGGATTTTATCCTACTTTAGCCTGGATCAGCATCCTTGGGCCAAGGGGACTCAATTTTGTATAAATGGTGGGTGTACCACATTACATTACTGAAATGGCTAATTATCTTGGAAATGGTAGATATTTTGTATACACATATACATTAGAGTATTATAGCCAATTACGCAGGCTACATTGTGACAAACTTCCAAGATCATGAGGTCAAAGGTCAAAGTCCACAATGCATTATGCTACTGAAATGGCTAGTTTTTCACAGAAATGGTAGATATTTTGTATACACATACCTTGGAGTATATGTAGCATTGATGCAAGCTACATTGTGACAAAATTCTGAGGTCATTGGGTCAAAGGTCACAGTGGCAGTGTTTGTCTTTTCCATTAGTCTGTCGGGTACGACATCTGAGGTTAGACTTTTTCATGACCCTTGATCTTTTAGCCCCTACAGGGGCAACAAGCAGCCAGAATGTTGGGGTATTTGTTAGTCGATTGGCGACAGTTCTAGTTATAATCAGAACGTGTACAATATGTATGTACAGGTGGGTTTCTTTGAAGGTTTTTTTGCAAGTATATAATATTTCTATGTATGACTACAGATTACTTCTATGACCACGTTTGCGTGTTTCAGGTTCCTAATTCAGCGATTAGGGAATGTGCTAACTTTACAGATATGACAGGAAAGGACTTCCTTGATCCAAAGAATGATAAAACTGTGGTTTCCGTGGACAACAGTGCCTCTGATAACTCTCCCCCGGAAAAAAAGAAGAGGCCCAGTGAAGGATCGTAAAGGATTAAAAAAAATCCTTTGAATTTTACAGTGAAATAAGTATAGAAAATTAAAAAAAACTTATAGTGGATGAGAACGGGGTTTTATTTCTGGCAGTGATAGTTGTAGCCTTTGTGAGATCAGAGAACTTGTCACAGGGCGGAGCGAATACATTCAAGCACCTAATAGTTCCTCCCTCATTTCTCTGTAACGTGCCATACTGACGAAGAGTAACTATACGACTTTGTATGTTAATTATACTGTACATATTGGGGTTTGGATTAGACATCTAAGATTTTACTCATTTGATTGTAATCAGATTGTTTTTTTCTGTAAAATATCATGATGGAGCCTTTACCATCACTAAAAAAAACACCATACCATTGAAATACCATCGCCAAAAATACAATACCATTAAAATACAAAATGTGCCATTTTTTAAAATAATTGAAATACATTGCAGTACCATTTACTGGTGCTGATTAATGCTTAGGGAACCACTAAAACACCATTTAAAAGGCAGCTCCTGCGAATTTCTCAAAATTGTATTGATTAATGTATATGCTAATTGTATTAATTGTATATCTATGTACTGTAAAGCTCTTTGGAGTGGCTTATGTTAGCTAGATAGGGCGCTATAGCATAGTATATTTTTAAAAATAGGCCGACACTTTTAGTCTGCCATATATGGTATTGCAGTTATAGTTAAGTCATATTTCAGTTGTCAAAGAAATGACTTTCAATGGCTTATCAATGGTTTTAAAAAAAAAAATCAATTATGTTTCAATGTTATTTTAATGCAACATCAATGATTTCAAAATTGAAAAAAAATTCAATATGACCAATGAATGAGACAACATTCCGCCCTTGTAAAAATTAGATTCATAATATAAAATGGCGGTCAAATCTAATGTCAAACTAATGTGCTGCAATATGTATCTGACAATTATAATACATATATTGCAATATCATTTTCAAACAATTTGGCATGTTGCAATATCATTTTCAAGTGAATTATTAAATCTTGCTATTAAATCAAAACACTATTTCATAAAATTCCATGAAACAGGACTTATTTAGTCATAAAAATGTTTTGTAATTGTCACTTTCAGGACTCTCCATAAAATGATGATACCTGTACTTAAATGATGCAGTTGTAGCTCTCTTGACTAATGTTGCTTATATATATATAAATTGACAAGAGTTACCTAGTACCTATCACACACTTTCACCTCTTTAGAGGTTCATCAGCATTCTTGTATTTGTAATATAAAAGTGTGTTCCTTTAAGGTATTGATAATTTTGTCACAACTTTCAGGTCAACCTAACAGGCCATCTGGTAATTTAAATTCAAATTAGACCAATAACAGAACAAACGATGTCCTAGACTATCCCAAAAAACATTTCTCCCCCCCTCCTCTTGATTACCAGAGCTTGATATCATGATTTGTTAAATTGAATATATGTCATAACTTGTCATTTTGCAGATACAAAATATCCTGTCATTTTTATGATACAAAACGTATATTTCTTATATAAACACCGTGCAAACTACAAGTGTACTGGCAAACTCTCTGCATACGGGATCAGAAAGTCTGCATACAGGATCAGAAAGTCTACATACAGGATCAGAACGTCTTCATACAGGAAAGTCTGCATACAGGATCAGAAAGTCTTCATACAGGATCAGAAAATCTTCATACAGGATCAGAAAGTCTGCATACAGGATCAGAATGTCTGCATACAAGATCAGAAAGTCTGCATACAGGATCAGAATGTCTGCATACGGGATCAGAAGGTCTGCATACAGGATCAGGAAGTCTGCATACAGGAACAGAAAGGACAGGAGTGAAAGGTTATAATTGTGACATAGAGAAAATCCTGTGTAGTAATGTCAGCTTTAAATGATGTATTGTAGATGTGTCAATAGTGACTTTTGATCAGTACAGTGTCAATGTGTGCTGATAACATTCGATAATCATAAAATTAAAAGTAATGCTGTGGTGATTTACAACTATAAACATGAGGACAAGAGCATCATGTTACTTGTTGTGGTGAAATTCACTGTTTGTTGCTATGCAGGATTAATTTTGTACTACATGTACATGTAGATTTTGGTTGTATTAATGTTGGACAGTGAGTGTCTGAGTTACAAGGTGGAAGAGCAAAACGGAGAAGATTTTATTTATTATAAGGTCTATTTGTGTAAACTGTTAAAGTATTTGTATTTTTGTGCCCGATTCTTACAGGTTTTAAATATATATATATAACAACAACAATAAAATATATTGTATTTAACACATTCTTACTTCCTTAAAACTGGAATGGAAGCTCACACCCCTTACACAAACGTACACTTTATTTTATAGATCAGTGTATTGTGAGGATGCTATTGTCTGTCATCACACCTAAAACATCTGAAAATGAATGTTATCTGACCTATCAGAGGAGGAGGAGGATATCTGAATCGACCTTGCAATTTCTTTTGAGGTGTATACTTTCTTTTTTTTTAATATGTACCAAGAGATAATTAACCGATGTGTCAACAAAACCATAATTCGAGCTAAAAATCGTAAACACTAGGGCAATATGTGAACATATGCAAGATTTACATAGAAACCTTTGAAAAAAAACAGGCAAATAAGAGCAGGTTCTCCGAAATGTTCTGCTTCATCCAGGATACCATATAAATCTAGCTCAAAGCCAAGTAATATCACGTCCTAAAAACGAACTAGAAATACGGAATGAGGAAGCACTTGATTGAAATTTAGTTGATTGATGTAAAATGACAAACAATGTATCAATAATAAATCATCCATGGAAAATTTGATCTTATAACATACAATACCGCAACTATTACTAAATATTGACTGTCTCTCAGCAACACCATTTTTGTGCCGCCTACGAAAAGCTAGTGACACATAGGTATTGCCTTGTCGGCGTCGTCCGAACAGAGGTTTTTCGTGCGATAATTTGAGTTTCCTTGGGCCGATCAAACTCAAACTTCATGCAGTGCTTCCTTACCAAAAGTGCTTGCTTGGGATTGCTTTTCAGGTCCGAAGGTCAAAGGTCAAGGTCACTGTTACTATAAATAGAAAATCTGTTTTCGTGAGATAACTTGAGTTTCCTTTGGCCGATCAAACTCAAACTTCATGCAGTGCTTCCTTACCAAAAGTGCTTGCTGGTCGTGTCAAAGGTCAAGGTCACTGTTACTATAAATAGAAACTTCACTAAAACTGTATACTGGACGGCTTCGATCTACCACTTGACCCACCGTGTATACCTCTGAAATGTCGTCTTACTCCAAATGTTATTGACAACACTAGCTGTTTAACATCAAAATCCACAAGTTTATTCATTTGTTTATGGGAAACCATCCGACAAATCATACAAATTAAACTTGGAATTGAGACAATGAGTATCCATAGCAAGTTCTTTAAAACTCAGAGTATTCTTCCCAGAATAACAGATTATATTACAAAATGATGCCATCCAAAAACATAATCTATGATAATTGCTTTCTTTTAACATTATTTCTTGAAATGAAAAGTGTATCTATTTCTTCGTAATCTCCCAGCTTCCTGCGCAGGCGACACATCCACTTCCGTGGAATTCTTGTCCTAAGAATGCTCTACGATTTTTTTTTTTAAATCCCTCAAATCTTGCTGAAGGAGAAGGATTTTAATAATTCATTACAATGTTCCCCCTATTGGACCTCGCCCCTCTGCCCCCAGGGGGTCAATACCCTTCGTTAATGCAAGATTGATTCCCCTTTGCCAAAGGATACTCGAGGCCACATTTGGTTAAAATCCCTCTTTTGGTATAGAAGAGGAAGCATTTTAAATTTGAAAACCTCAAATTCCCCTATTGGATCCCATCCCTTTGCACCCTGAGGGGCTACATCCTCCATTAATACAAAATGTGGTCCCCTTTGCCCAAGAATGCTTCAGGCAAAATTTGGTTGAAATCCCTCCAATGGTACAGAAGAATTAATTTCAAGATTTAAACCTCAAATTCCTCTATTTGGCCTTCGTCTCAATGCACCCTGAGGGGCCACACCCTCTGCTTTTACAAAATTAAGTCCCCTCACAAAAGAATACTCAAGACAAAATTTGGTTAAAAAAATATCCCTCTAATGGTAAAAAGAAAAATTAAATTTACGTCAAATTCCCATATTTGGTCTCGCCAATCTCCACCCAGAAGGGCCAAACCCTCCGTTTATATAAAATAGAATCCCCTTTTCCATAGGATACCCCAGACAAAATTAAGTCCCCTTGCAAAAGAATATTCACGGCAAAATTTGTTTAAAATCCCTCCAATGGTACAAAAAATAGAAATTTATCCGCTTTGCCCAAGGATGCTCCTGGCAAAATTGGGATAAAAACCCTCCAATGGTACAGAAGAAGAAAGATGATGATGATGATGATGATGATGATGATGATTGTCAATGTGTATGTACAATGATGATGATGATGATGATGATTGTCAATGTGTATGTACGATGATGATGATGATGATGATGATGATGATGATGATGATGATGATGATGATGATGATGATGATGATGATGATGACAACGATGATGCTGATGACGACGATGATGATGATGATGATGATGATGATGATGATGATGATGATGATGATGATGATGATGATGATTGAGAAACGCATGCTTCTGTCTACAAGTGAGAGTTTGTGTGTAATGTCTGTTTGATGTAGATGTAACAAAAAACTTGAAAAAATAAAACAATATAAAAATAAAAAATAAACATTATGTATCTGTGCTAAACATTAAAAAAAACAAAAACAAAAAAAAAAACAAAAAAAAAAAACATTACGCAAGGAAGTAGCACATTTTAAAATGCGAGCATGATGGCGACCATACAACTTGCCGATAGCTTATTTTTATCAAACCTGCACCTTTCGAAACTCCCTGTTGTACGTTTGTCCATCAGTAGTCGATATCTATCATTGAATACCGATGAAATGCGATTTGAAAACACCGTAGGATGGAGAAGCATGGATGTTGATACCAAGAAAGAGAAAGTTCAGGATAGGAAATTCAAAATCGTCAAGCTTATTGTATGGCATAATATGAAGTCATCAATGTTGTGACAAAAGATCCAAGAACAAGTTTGTAATGTCCTTGATTTTCAGTTGAGGAGTGAAATACGATCAAAATGGTAAATCGATTTCTTGTTAAAGTCAGCACATTGTCTATAAACCTGAATGTGAAAGCTAAGGACTTTGCAAGATCTCTGTTAACAGTTTTGGTAGGCTTTTTCAATTAATTCAGCCTCATCTGCATCAAAATCAAAATGGGTCGGAAGAAGTGCTCAGTTTGTTTCCATGAATATGCATACAATCTTCTCAAAGTTCCTTTCAACGAACTAAAAAATGTCTATTGGGGTACTTGAGAGGTGTAGGAAGCCAACCTGGAATATCAATGTTTTGCTACTTCTTCCTCTTCTGCCTAATACTATCGTATATCATTTCGTTATATGTCACAATGGTAACAAGAACAACAGTGGAGATTTTTCTATTGAATCCGGAAATATTTCACCAGAGTGACCATAGGTATATCAATGATGAAGCAGAATTAATACTAAGATTACATACTTGTTGGTAACATTTTATTTCATATTGATATATATCAGTGATGTTTTGTCAAGGAATAAAACGTTCTTCTCTGCTATTCATTACATACCGGGTGCTAAACTTCATGTTGAACTACATTTCTGTTAATATGATGATAAAGTCTAACGCCCGTGATTGTATTTATTTTTATTCTAAAGACATAGTTTGAACAATTATATCACAATCAATGAAAATACGTCCACAAACCTTGAAAAGCTGGAACTGCAATTTGGGATGCAGAGCTAAGTGCTCCGTTATAAAAAAAATTAAGGCGAGGGGGATTGAATATTAATGTTGCGCCTAATTTGAATGAATTCATACAAGTTGTTAAAGTCAGCCAGCACGAGCACGCCTACTGTAACACAAACAACAATGACACCAACGTATCCCATGATTCGGGAGGACACACGACTGTCGTCTGCGCTAGTAAGCATTCTTTGCCACCTCACAGTCTCGTTTCTCCGTATGATTAACGTTGCTTGGATATGTTCTAAATATTTCTGTAAAAATACTTCCGGTGTTACCATTTCTCCAGCATCTTTCAGCGTAAAACAGACACATAAACTGAATGTCGATATATTGGGACACATTTTCGTAACATCCGGGATGGTTGTTTGTATGGTACTGGTTACGTCATGGGGAGTTTTTTGTATGTTACTGATTACGTCACGGGCAGTTGTTTGTGTGGTACTGGTTACGTCACGGGCAGTTGTTTGTATGGTACTGATTACGTCACGAGCAGTTGTCTGTGTGGCACTGGTTACGTCACGAGCAGTTGGTTGTGTGGTACTGGGGTGTGACATCTACAACAAATAATACACACTGATTACGTCACGAGCAGTTGTCTGTGTGGCACTGGTTACGTCACGAGCAGTTGGTTGTGTGGTACTGGTTACGTCACGAGCAGCTGTCTGTGTGGTACTGGTTACATCACGAGCAGTTGTTTGTGTGGTACTGGTTACGTCATGGGGAGTTGTTCGTGTGGTGGTGGTAACATCCGGGGAAGTTGTTCGTGTGGTTGTGGTAACATCCGGGGAAGTTGTTCGTGTAGTTGTGATAACATCCGAGGAAGTTTTTGGTGTGACTGTGGTAACATCTGGCGAAGTTGTTTCTGGTGTACTAGTGTTATCTTTGCACTGCAGAATTCCTGAAACATTGAATTTATTTTGACGAAGCTTTAATGGAGTGAAATGCATGTGCTGCGTGTATATATATTTCAAAGATGTAACAAATACTAATATTTTTAGAACTCCTTATAATCGAGCTGCAAAACGTGACGTAACTTCACCTGATTGTTCTTTAATGACACTTTTCATGGAATGCGAATACGGACCATACTTAAATTTTAGTTTTAAAATGCTAAAGATAAATTAGACTCGTTCAATATTTTCATGAATTGTTGATAATTTATATTCGTATCTGTCTCACCTGGAATACTTTCTAGAGACGGAATGATGCCATAGCCGGACTAAAACAGATAGGATTTGTTAGCGTGATCGTCAGATAAAACAAAAGCAGCAGAAAACAGATTCAAAACAAGCTACAACAAATAAAGAACAAGGAGTATCAAGATAGTGGCTGTTACAAAGCTACAACAATACAAAAACAAACGTGAAACTGACTGCGCTACAACAAATACTTCACGAACCTGAGGCCAGCTCCAACAAACAATATATACGTGGGTGGCTGTGACATCTGCTACAAATATTACACAAGCATGGCTTTGATAGCTACAAAAAAATACACAAGTCTTGACTGTAACAGCTACAACAAATAATACACAAGTTTGGCTGTGACATCTGCAACAAATATTACACAAGTTTGGCTGTGACATCTGCAACAAATATTACACAAGACTGGCTGTGACAGCTACAACAAATAATACACAAGTCTGGGTGTGACATCTACAACAAATAATACACAAGTCTGTCTGTGACAACTACAACAAGTAATACACAAGTCTGGGTGTGACATCTACAACAAATACTACACAAGTCTGGGTGTGACATCTACAACAAATAATACACAAGTCTGGGTGTGACAGCCACAACAAATAATACACAAGTCTGGGTGTGACATCACCAACAAATAATACACAAGTCTGGGTGTGACAGCCACAACAAATAATCCACAAGTCTGGGTGTGCCAGCCACAACAAATAATACAAAAGTCTTGCTGTGACAGCTACAACAAACAATATATATACATGGTTGACTATGACAGCTACAACAAATAATACACAAGTCTGGGTGTGACATCTACAACAAATAATACACAAGTCTGGGTGTGACATCTACAACAAATAATACACAAGTCTGGGTGTGACATCTACAACAAATAATACACAAGTCTGGGTGTGACATCTACAACAAATAATACACAAGTCTGGGTGTGACATCTACAACAAATAATACACAAGTCTGGGTGTGACATCTACAACAAATAATACACAAGTCTGGGTGTGACATCTACAACAAATAATACACAAGTCTGGGTGTGACATCTACAACAAATAATACACAAGTCTGGGTGTGACATCTACAACAAATAATACACAAGTCTGGGTGTGACATCTACAACAAATAATACACAAGTCTGGGTGTGACATCTACAACAAATAATACACAAGTCTGGGTGTGACATCTACAACAAATAATACACAAGTCTGGGTGTGACATCTACAACAAATAATACACAAGTCTGGGTGTGACATCTACAACAAATAATACACAAGTCTGGGTGTGACATCTACAACAAATAATACACAAGTCTGGGTGTGACATCTACAACAAATAATACACAAGTCTGGGTGTGACATCTACAACAAATAATACACAAGTCTGGGTGTGACATCTACAACAAATAATACACAAGTCTGGGTGTGACATCTACAACAAATAATACACAAGTCTGGGTGTGACATCTACAACAAATAATACACAAGTCTGGGTGTGACATCTACAACAAATAATACACAAGTCTGGGTGTGACATCTACAACAAATAATACACAAGTCTGGGTGTGACATCTACAACAAATAATACACAAGTCTGGGTGTGACATCTACAACAAATAATACACAAGTCTGGGTGTGACATCTACAACAAATAATACACAAGTCTGGGTGTGACATCTACAACAAATAATACACAAGTCTGGGTGTGACATCTACAACAAATAATACACAAGTCTGGGTGTGACATCTACAACAAATAATACACAAGTCTGGGTGTGACATCTACAACAAATAATACACAAGTCTGGGTGTGACATCTACAACAAATAATACACAAGTCTGGGTGTGACATCTACAACAAATAATACACAAGTCTGGGTGTGACATCTACAACAAATAATACACAAGTCTGGGTGTGACATCTACAACAAATAATACACAAGTCTGGGTGTGACATCTACAACAAATAATACACAAGTCTGGGTGTGACATCTACAACAAATAATACACAAGTCTGGGTGTGACATCTACAACAAATAATACACAAGTCTGGGTGTGACATCTACAACAAATAATACACAAGTCTGGGTGTGACATCTACAACAAATAATACACAAGTCTGGGTGTGACATCTACAACAAATAATACACAAGTCTGGGTGTGACATCTACAACAAATAATACACAAGTCTGGGTGTGACATCTACAACAAATAATACACAAGTCTGGGTGTGACATCTACAACAAATAATACACAAGTCTGGGTGTGACATCTACAACAAATAATACACAAGTCTGGGTGTGACATCTACAACAAATAATACACAAGTCTGGGTGTGACATCTACAACAAATAATACACAAGTCTGGGTGTGACATCTACAACAAATAATACACAAGTCTGGGTGTGACATCTACAACAAATAATACACAAGTCTGGGTGTGACATCTACAACAAATAATACACAAGTCTGGGTGTGACATCTACAACAAATAATACACAAGTCTGGGTGTGACATCTACAACAAATAATACACAAGTCTGGGTGTGACATCTACAACAAATAATACACAAGTCTGGGTGTGACAGCCACAACAAATAATACACAAGTCTGGGTGTGACAGCCACAACAAATAATACACAAGTCTGGGTGTGACAGCCACAACAAATAATACACAAGTCTGGGACAGGTACAAAAATAATACACTATTTTAGCTGTGACAGCTACAACAAATAAGTCTGGCTGTTTATATATACTTGTTTATATACCTTTATGCTTAGTACCATACAGACCTCTCATAGTACACGTGTTTATATACTTTTTGCAGAAAATACAATAACATGTACTCTTGAGAGTGTGTAATGAAATTTACAAATGGACAAATGGATATAGTCATCGTAGATAGAATTAAATTCAGCGTTTTGGGGGTTTTTTTCGGTACAAGACGGGCTGGACATGTTGCTAGTTTTGATAATGTGTGCTCATGTCCTTGTTACAATCTCCGAAAAGAAAATTGTCCTTGAATAATTCTAATTACTGATATAGATTCTATATCAAAATAGTTATAAAGCTAATAAACTAACGCCTTTATGATCGCTTCCATTGAGATGTATAGCGAGGCACACTCACATTAGCAGTAAAACTGATATCTTTTGGAAGCAGAACTGTGGCAGCAGTTGTGTGAGGATTAAAGCATGTCAGATGACCTCCGAACGTCGCTCCGGAAATGTCCGTCACCCTGAGAACTTCTGTATTGGTCACGGTAACTGTGGTAACAACGTAGGGAGACGAAGGTATGGATGTCCATTGTGCTGGGATGACCGTGTCCTGTACCAATATATTGTTCTGTTCGCCGTCTCTAGCTACAAGCGATAGCTGACAATCCATATAGAACGGCGCCACGGGAACCACATACTTGCTGGTGTAATGCTGCAACGGCACCGGGTAATACATGCCAGCATTTAGCCATTCCGTTCTTACCACAAAATGACTGACAAGAATATTATTTTCAGCCGATATTTCTACAAATTCACAGGTAAACGAATGATTCAAATGATCCTGAAAAGCATGCATTAGGAAAAGCGTGGTGGAACCGCACCCCGTGAGCAGAACGTTTGTGTCGTCTTTTGAAGACACAACTTTGATGACGTCAGCATGCTGTGCGGTGCTGTCCCTGACAACTATGTAGCGATTACCCCAGTGCATAAGAGGAGGTAGACTCGCGGATAAATGATCCCGTCCTAGTTCTGTGAATGTCCTTGTTTTATCTGCACCTGCAAACGCGGCAATCTCGCGGTCGGAAGATATCAACATTCCCGTTAAATCAGCCTTTGTGGCAAACTGAACAGTCTGCAAAGGCTGTAAAGTCAGTTGTAGGACATCACATGCTTGATAGGTTGTTCCATTAAACTCTATGGAACCAGTAAATTGCGCGGGTATATACACAATAATATTGGCAGGCTCTAATACGGACGCCACGCCGATCTCACAGTGTGCAACATTTATTTGACAGTTTGTGAGAACAACATACACGAGACCGAGATGTGGGACTGGTCGGGGCGTGAACACGTCGGTAGAAGTTTTGTATACGTTACTGAACCCTAGTACGTATATATTGTCCACAGATGTAAGCATAATGCCCTTGTTTTCTATCATATTCAAACCAAGCCTCGATATGGACGAATTAAGTCGGAGGGTAAAGCGCTTATACTTCTGTTCCAGCAATATTGTTTGGTTGACGCCATTGATAGCCTCGTAGACTGTTACCGAAGCCCCGTCAACATCACTTGTCACGTAGATATCTGTGTCTCCATAGGTACCTTTATTTAGTGGATTCCGAAGAAAGCAAAGAACCACGTTATCGCCACATGTACGAGTTACACCTACAACGAGCAAATCTATATATCAAAACTCTAATGGAAAAGGCATTCATCTTTCTTTCTACAGAGTCAACACAAATATCATGGAACTGAAACATATGAAATAAATAGCATATCAACAGTTTAATATCAGTTACCAAAACTCGATCGAATGAGTGAAGTATGTATGTATGTATGTATGTACGTATATATGTATGTATGTACGTTTGTATGCATTTACGTTTGCATGCATGTTGTCTATGTGGTCTCAGGAATACGCTTATTGAAATATTTATGATATATTTGCTTTTTAGGGAAAATGGAAATACAGCAGTAACATAAATTGCTTTTACATGCGTGATTGATATTTTAGTATGACTATTGATTTTTTAAGTACCGCTGTTTGTATAATGTTTTAGATATAGTCTTTTATAACTCTTCCAGAGTGCCTTCTAACCCTTTTTAATGTTCGATGGTTTTATGACATTGTATAAAATGTGCAATGGTTTGGAAGTCGAGGCTCTAATGCAACATCTGTCTGAAGGCTAAAGATACATCTCCCCGATATCAGTATACTGAAAACATTAAATCAGATATAACTTGCCAATTTTGAAATCAAAATAATACCTGTGTTAACTGTTATTTTCATAGAGTATCATCGTACAGCTGTATTTTGACAGAAAATCTAAATTTAACTACGACACATAGTGTGCTGCCTACATTTGAGGAGCCTTACGAATATTATGTTAGGACGAGGACATCCGGGCTGTAATGTTGGCGACATAGAGCAGTGTACAGTACCTGATGCGAAAATCGTTTCTATAAACACCTAGTCGTATGAGCTTCCGCGAACTAATGTTTTAAATTACAAGATATTTATTGAATCTATCCATGATCATAGTAGGTTTTTGGTAACACTTTGGTAACATAACTACAAATATATATTACGTACCTACATATTTTATACATTGTAACTCATTCAATATCATTTGAGTGCCTTCACTTATGTACTACTGCAGTAAATTTTTATCTATCTGGACTTGTGGCATATGATACCTTGTTTGTCACGTGCATTTCAGGTGAACTAATTATGTTTTGATTTAACTTAAAAAATATTTTAAAATATTGAAGTAGATTGTTTACAAAGAAATTCTCTTAATAGCGCGTTATTTATACTAGAAACACGATATCTATAAGATATTCAAAAAAATGAAAACTGATTATTTTATCTAAATATATGTAGTTATCTAGAATGTGACTGCGGAACAACTTACCAATGACGAGTAAGGTTGCTAAACCGTTCAGTAAGAAGAAGTGCGCCATGTCAGTATTTCTGGTCACTATTAACCCAACTATATCTAGTTTTGAGTGCACCAATGTCTCGTCAACTATGATTCGGCCCTTCTAAAGCAGTTATAACTTATCATGTTTATTGATCGGGTGATTTGTAGGATCTTGTTTGTCCTTTCCAAAAGTAAATACTTATCACTTCAAGCAGATGGACGTCAGTATTTCATTGTTTGTGAATTGATTCACTGAACACTTTTATAACTTAATGTTTGAACGCGCGTCTGAAATGACTGCTTTTTATCCACGACGGAAGGGCACGCGTATAACGTAAATATTTGTCGTATTTCTATGATCACATCCTTTCAAATTATGAATAAAAATGAGAGGAAACCAGACTCGATATACTCAACATTAAGCTCACATCATTTAAATGGATTGCGTTGACGGCTTCCGACGTTTAATCGATTCGATTCAGAAATATCAGCATTTCTTCTTCTAAGAGTCATATACAAATAAGTTAATACAAAGTTTGAATTTACCAACTGTCTGTTTGTTCTACTATCCAGTCAGCAATCTGCTGACTGTCGCTCTATCGTGTCACCACATCTTTGGTTGTCATCCTCTCCATGCCAGTCACCAACTGCCTGTTATCCCTCATCCAGACACTACCCGTCTTAATATTCCGCCACCCAGTCACAAGCTGTCTTAATGACCTGCCATCACCCGACTTTATTTACTTCCATCTAATCGACACCCGTCTTCATTATATATTCCTCAATCAAGTCGCCATCCGTCTCAATTGCATTCCATCCAGTCACCACCGATCCTGATGTACTTTAATCAAGTGTCCTTGCATCAAGTAGACACCCACCTTTATATGTACTAACATGACATCACAATCAATATCAATACAGTGCAATTCATTAACACATCTCGTGCTGTAGGTGACTGCATCTCATTGCAATATATGAACACATCTCGTGCTGAAGGTTGATGCATCTCATTGCAATTGATAAACACATTTCGTGCTGTAGGGGACTTCATCTCATTGCATTGCATGGTCACATCTCGTGCTGTACGTGACTACGCCCATTGCATTGCATGGCCACATCTCGTGCTGTACGTGACTACACCCATTGCATTATATGAACACATCTCGTGCTTTATGTGACTGCATCTCATTGCAAAACATAAAGACATTTCGTGCGTATGCCCTACCTTTATTTATATTGAGTTTGATTAATATTTGTGTTTTTTACTCTTTGGTGTTCATCTCGTTGCTTCTTTGTCTGTCTGTTTTTATTTTTCACAATGTTGGATATGTTTATCATAAAAAAAGTAAAACAAAATTAACTTTACAGTAAATGCTTTGTTCATTATTTTGGAATTGAATTGGAAAAAAATGAAAATCACTTATTTGACAAAACTGATTTGCAATATTTACCCCTTTTAACAATGGATAAGAGAAGTTTAAAGTATATAAAGACCAACCAGAGTACGTTTTAGATTTTCCCCCAAAAAACCGGTTCATTGGAATGATTATATAACAAATATTAAACCATCAATATGACTAAAAGCATTCTATTGTTGACGATAATGTTGTTTTTTTTGCCTCATTAAAAAAATACTATATGAGGCAATATTTATAATGTGGTATTTGTAATATGGTATTTGAACTCAATTTTCTTACCTGGCCAATGCTATTTTAACAAGAGGCACATGGGCCTTAACGGTCACATGAGTCCTAAAGTATTTTTTGTTGTTGTTGAAATATTGTGTGGAGATAATGATGACAATCATCCCTACCGATTTGAGTAAAAAAAATAAGTATAACGTTAAGTTAAGTTTGTCAGGACCATGAGTTGATCATTTCTATACCGAGCTTCAGTTAAATCGGCCTATTAGAACTTGATTTTAAGTGGCGCCCATATTGGATTTTTGATCGGCCCGAAAAAAACACTTTGCCAGGATCATGAGACTATCATTCCTACCAAGTTTCAGTTAAATCGGCTGAATAGAAATTGACTTTAATTTTAAAATAGATTTTCAAAATGGCGGCCATATTGGATTTCTGATCGACCCGAAAAATAACAACACTTTGTCAAGACCATGAGTCGATCATTACTACCAAGTTTCAGTTAAATCGGACCAGTGAAACTTGACTTTAAGTTTGAAATAGTTTTTCAAAATGGTGGCCGTGGCGGCCATATTGGATTTCTGATCGACCCATAAAATAAAAACATTTTGACAAGACCATGAGTCGATCATTACTACCAAGTTTCAGCTAAATCGGACCAGTGAAACTTGACTTTAAGTTTGAAATAGTTTTTTTCAAAATTGGGGTCGTGGTGGCCATATTGGATTTCTGTTCGACTCGAAAAATAACAACACTTGGTCAGGGAGATGTCAGTAAAATTCCCATGAAGTATCAATGAAATCCTTTCGACAGTATTTCAGCTTAAATTGAAAATGTAAAATGTCAACGGAGGACTGGCGACGCACGACGCACGGCGACAGACGAAGACGGATAGCAATAAGGACTGATTTGGAACTTAAATCAATAAAGTCTATTCCTGAATAGTACACAATAGTGGAATAAGTAATTCTCATTTCCACTGTATTTAGACGACGGTTTAACTGCTGCTTAATATATGAGAACGATCAATTTTATGACAGCTTTCTAAGAAAAATAATCGAACAAGAACCCACTACAAAAATAAAAATTCAGAATCATCGACATTTTTACTGCTATGTTTTATACCATGTAATTAGTTCAACGCTCTTGCAATGCAATGATGTCGATGCAAACTTACGTTATATGTTTTACTTTCCTTGCACAATATTACACAAGAGGTCATTATATATTTAAAAATTATCTAATGTTTTTAATCCAAAACAAAATAAATTATCCGATGTTTTTTTTTATTTTTGTACACATTTTAATTCTATAATATAGGAATCCAACATCATGAAGAACAAAAAATATAACGTTATTCTGTTGCGAATAGTTTGATGTTTCGGCTACTTTTAGAGTAGGATGTCTACTTCTAGTTTGATTGGTTTTAACATTTCTGCGAAAAGTCACAGAGGAAACACAATGACAATACAAATCCCTGGACGAGACCTGAAAAAAAAATTCAGAGACTTTGATTGAAATATTTGAAATAATTTTCAAAATGTTCAAAATTAAATTTAAACGCTATGTAATGAGTAGCGAAAAATCAATGTCTAGTTGGTGTTTACATAGATTATTGAGGTTTATTATTTGTAAATAGTATTGGAATTTTTTATAATAGTGTATCATAATGAATGTTTAATGCGAGTTGAACATGATGAGTCAACGTCCGTGAAGACATACCATTTCTACACTTCAAATAATAAATAAGGATTTGTCTCACATTATTATTATCATTATTATTATGTATACGAGTCAAACATTCTTTTCATCGCATATGCGGATTCCAGTCTAAATTCTTCAAAATCAATTCCATTTAAATGATGGGTCATTGGGCCTCCTAGTAAAATGTTAATTAATGAATATTCAGGCAGTGAATGCAGATATGAACTGAGTTCAATACTTGAAATTCAGGCAACTATACGCCATGAATTGTCACGAAGAGTTTCTGTTACAGAACAACGCAAAATCACATGAGGTACAAAATCTGTGTAGAAATAGCCACAATGATGGCATAAAAGCTGTATGTTACTTACACGTACAGATACAATCAATTTCATTATATATCCGATATTGTCAAGAAAAGTTGGGTGACGCAAGGCTAATTTCCATAAATAATGAGGTTTTAGACAGTTATGTAGCAATACAAATCGTGTAAAGTCTGTGTCATTAGACATTCTTTGCATCCATGTATAAGTTTCATAATTTGTTAAGGATATATAAATCAATGACTTTCAAAACATTTTATTTGGAAAAACACCATCATCTAGAAATAATACAATGTATTCATATAGATTATACTTCTTTAGTATTCTGACAATGTCTGGTATATAACCTTTTTGACTATAATTATTAATGTATACATAAAATAACTCAAAATGAATACTCTGCAGATTAAGTTACCTCTTTTCATTCTACAGATCCTGCCTAAAAACAAAAGCTTTTTTATATCGATGTACGCCTCTATAGAAAACCATCCGATTAAAGAAGTACACATATCAGTTCTTTTTCTTTTTCCGAAACCTTAGATTGACTTAACAATCAATTGTTGGGCTCTCTCTAACATCAATAACTCAGTATTTGAAAGTACCTAGAGTTCACATCCGTAAAGCGCAGACGGGTAGACTTTAGTTTTTACAATTTTAGCAACAGTTAATGGTTAGGTGCGCATAGATGTGCCCCAGAACGTAAAAGGGGCCATGGTACCACTTTGTTTTATTTTTTACACGCTTGTTTTGTTTTGTTAATGGAATTGTGGTTATCATTCAATAAGATACCAACATGAGTAATCTCTGAAACGACAGGCAATATATTATCATAAAGACGTACAGTACATTTAATGCTTATGATTCTTGTATTTGAAAATACGACAACATTACTTTTTGAAGCAGAATACAAAAATCGCCACTTTCGACTGTATGATTCACAAATAGTTAACATTTTATTTAGATTTGTAATATTTGTACTTACCAAACAGATATCGTCTGCTTGAGTTGGACATTTACAGTTTTATCGATTATCATTGCGCCCCTACCACAGTTTTCAACTTCATTCAACAAGTCATTAATAAAAACTAATTACATTTTGGCTGAGAGAGCCACGTCTTGTCAGATACCTCGCTCCATCTCTACAGGTACAAATTTTGTTGTGCGAATTTTGTATGAATTTAGTTCTTCCTGCGTTTTTATTGCACATGTTTTCGCTTTTTCTTTTTCCTTTCCTGGTTTCTGTAGCGATGCCTTCAGGAGTTTTAGTTCATTTTCGTTTTCTGTGATTTCATGTTTCATTGAGTTTATTGAGTGTATTGCATGTCTATGTTCACATTTCATATCGTGTATGTCCACCTGAACTTTTACAAGTAGTTCTTTTAGACTTTTGGAACCATCGGAGTCGTTTGCCGAATTGTTGCTTTTGACCTGGTTATTATCTTGTCGTTTCCTTGACGGGATTACGTCGTTCAGGTCTTCCGTATACTCACCAAAGTAGCCCTAAACAGAACGAAAATGTCTCTGGCTAGCTTTAATTGCACGGATTTCGCTGTTGATGTACGGGGTTCGAGGCGTTTACGTAGGTAACCCTCTTTAACAGGAAAATCGTCGCGTTTGTTTTTTCAATGATACTTAAAAGTTTAAACACAGTTATAATCAATAAAGATGTCATTTTTTTGTTTAACTTTTTTATTCATTGCAAATACCTTTTGGCTGGACAAGTGACCAATGGATAATTTGGATTAGATTACAATATACATAAAATCAAAATGTGCATTAAGTACCTTATTAAGTCCAATTTAATTCAAATTGACCATTGACCATTGAAACACGAGGAGAAAGAATTAAATACTATACAATTAATAAATTTGTTCGCCGGCCTATCTATTCTTAGTTTAGGATGAACAGTCAATAATTAAACAAATTAATCGCAACACTTTCATTTTCATATGCTTTGACCATTTAACTTTCAAATGCACATTACTTTCAAAAGTAAAACGTCTGCACAACTGTGAAACATACCAGCGTTAGGCGCATGCTCAATTACCAACAAATTTAATGCGATAAGCGTTTGATAATATTTTTAGCAGGGAATGATAATCACGTTAACAAATCTCAGACAAGAAAACAATTTCTCTGTTCATTCTTTCGCTTTGTGTTACACCACATTAAAATCAAGAACGTAATTATCGCAAATATAAAATATAACATGTAGTATGTAGAAATGTGAAACTGTTGAAGCAAGAGGCCCAGAAGGACTGTATCGATGACCTGGATATCTTAGCAATCATGGAAAAATATTCTCCATGATCCTTGGTAATGGGCCAGACCCCAAGGCCAAACCTTGTAGCATCTCTGTATTAGATTTTTCAAGCCCAGCAATTTTATGTATGGTTATGGAGTGGGGATCTCAACTGTTTCCAAGCTGTGACTCAGAACTAGGTCCTTGTTGTTGTGGCCAGAACCAAGAGTCAATTCTAATATCATGACTGTATTCGTCTCTTTATGCCCAGCATTTGTATATATAGTTTTGGGATGGGGATCTCAAACCTTTTAAAGTTATGACCCAGGGGTTAAGTTTGCAAGGGTGGTTCAGACCCTGGTGTCAATTCTAAAATCGTGACAGCATTTGTGTCCATATGCCCAACACAATTGTATATATAGTGTTGGGGTGGGGATCTTAACCGTTTCGAAGTTACGACTCAGGGACTATGTCTTCTGAAGCCAGACCGCAGAGCCATCCTGGAAGCATATGTGCATTCTTCTCTTTATACTCAGCAATTGTATTTTTGGTTATAGAGTGGGAATCTCAACCATTTCCAAGTAATAAACTATTTTTGGCCCCACCCCTTAGCCCGGGGGGGGGGGGCGGTCAGCCCCACCATTTGCACAATTTTGAATCCCCACTACCTAGGGATGTTTCCAGTCAAATATGGTTGATATCCATCTCTTGGTTCCGGATCCAGAGAAGAAGTCGCTTAAAGCAATGTAGCCAAATAACCCCTTTTGGCCCCGCCCATAAGCCCCGAAGGGGGTCAGCCCCACCGTTTGTACAATTTTGAATTCCTGCCTCCCATGAATGCTTCCGACCAAATATGATCGATATCCAGTGCGAAGTTCTACAGAAGAAGTTGTTCATAGCAATATAGCCAAATTGGCCCTTTTTGGCCCCGTGTGGTTCAATAGCAACCACGAATGTTTATACACAACGACCATTTCATATTATACAGTACCTGTAATAAGGATAAATATTACTATGTATCACGTAACAGTCACGCACATTTTGATGAACCCGTTTTCTTTAACAGTAAATGTGATGCTATCATTATATTACCGTCAGATCACTTGGTCTAAATTCTTCAGTGCATACTTTGAATAAAGATAATACAATCCAATGAAGACGACAGAAACTTTCATAACAATTATGATATTCGAGCTGTTTTGTTTTCGTGTTGTCGGTCTGGTTTGTAAAGGGGCTAATGTTCTATCCCATTGCTGCAAGATAGCCTCTCTAGCTCCCGACCATTTGCCTGGCCCCTCAAGTCGGTATTGATAGGGTGTGCAAGCTCCGAACAGACATAACCAAGCCAGTTTCGTGTCGGTTAGGAACATTTTCACTACAACAGAGAATACAAAACTGCTTTGATTCCAGCCAACATCGGCGATATTTATCGTTGACATTTATTTGCAAAGAAATAAATCCCTTCATGGTATGATAAATAAACCCTCCCTGCTACAATCATATATATTCATATTTGCGCTTGACTTGCAAAATACATGTGTGGGGGTAATCCGATGATATACTCAGCAGTCAGGGCTTGGAGTTACAAAGAAAACATTTACACACAAAAACTGCAGTAAGATTACCTTAACCCCACAAAACCCCCGGTAAGATTATTTTAACACCCACAAAAAACCGCAGTAAGATTATTTTAACCCCCACAAAAATCACAGTAAGATTATTTTAACCCCCACAAAAACCACAGTAAGATTATCTTGACCCCCACAAAAACCACAGTAAGATTATCTTGACCCCCACAAAAAAAAAACAGTAAGATAACCTTAACTCCAGCAAAACCACAGTAAGATTACCTTAACCCCAACAAAAACCGCAGTAAGATTATCTTGACCGGCACAAAAACCAAAGTGAGATTACCTTAAGCCCCACAAAACCCACAGTAAGATTACCTTAACCCCCACAAAAAACACAGTAAGATTACCTTAACCTCCACAAAAACCACAGTAAGATTACCTTAACCCCACAAAACCCCCGGTAAGATTATTTTAACCCTAACAAAATCCACAGTAAGATTATTTTAACACCCACAAAAAAACACAGTAAGATTATTTTAACCCCCACAAAAACCACAGTAAGATTATCTTGACCCCCACAAAAACCACAGTAAGATTATCTTGACCCCCACAAAAAAACACAGTAAGATAACCTTAACTCCAGCAAAACCACAGTAAGATTACCTTAACCCCAACAAAAACCGCAGTAAGATTATCTTGACCGGCACAAAAACCAAAGTGAGATTACCTTAAGCCCCACAAAACCCACAGTAAGATTACCTTAACCTCCACAAAAAACACAGTAAGATTACCTTAACCTCCACAAAAACCACAGTAAGATTACATCAACCCCCACAAAAACCACAGTAAGATTACCTTAACCCCCACAAAAACCAAAGTAAGAAAACCACAGTAAGATTTCATTTACCCCATTTATGATAAACCGTGTTTCCTGCACCAGAGCTTCTACATATCATGATGTCAACAGTCAAAACCAGGAAAGACGACAGTAACCAACAACCTAAGATACGATGAACACGTGGTACCCATGAACACGCTGTACCCATGAACACGTGGTACCCATGAACACGCTGTACCCATGAACACGTGGTACCCATGAACACGTGGTACCCATGAACACGCTGTTATCAATTAGGTAGGTATGACGGCCGTAAACTATCCTCGGCGTAGCTTTAAACCTCTTCGGCAAGACACCCTGGCCAAGAACTGTGTTAGCCATCAGAACAGATATATCCAGGGAATTCTGACACTTCGACCAGCCTCAAGATTATGACGACTGTAAACGCACCAAATTGTCAGATTTTTTTATTTGAACATTAATCATTAAAAGAATACAAAACATATCTGTTAAAGTGTCACACATTTCGTGCCGATATATTGATTATGTTGAAATGTTCTCGCCAAGAGGATTGTTGATGCGGACTTCATGCGTGTATTATTGTTGCTATCAGTGTGCTATGCATTTGCCATTTCAAATCAACGGACTGATACACCAATTCTTAAAACTATATATAATCTTTATTTTATTTTTACAACAATTATGAAACAAGATTTTACAACTTTAATTAATTCCTGATTTTGGCCAGAACGGTTTTTGGAGAGGGTCTTGCTAACGGCGAGAGTTGGTGAAAGGCGAGGTACCTACCAAGTTCGCTGCTCGATCTTTAAATATTTATTGGTAAAGCAAGAGGTGAAATATATTACCTAGTATTTAGCAATGAAGGCAAATCGATAGATGTTCTAACTTCTAAAATAAATTTCTAAAAAGAATATTTAGAGATCTACTTAAAAAAAGCAGTATTACATCCTGATTGAAGTATGTTTTACTGTGGCTAGTAGGGGTCAACCGTTTTTAATACACCTATGATTGACCGAGGAGGAAAGTACCTGTGGTATAGTTAAACAAGTGGAAGATCATGTACGGTAATGCTGTCTGTAGGTACTCCTGTTCGTTTAGGTATCTATGTATGTACAGTGACCCTGTACCAGAACCTTTACTATTTACCGAATGGTGAATAGGTGATTTATCAATTGAGTCCTGGAAACCTTACCTAATGCAGGTTTACACCCGAACAGTGAGGCTAGCTCATCCATGTACACCATGTAGTCTACCGTGAAGAAATGGCCTTTAGAGTCACTGAACACCTTCTTAAGTCTGCTCCGGGTTTTCTCTATATCGGCTTGTTGTAACTCAACGGAAGGTAGCTTCACTTTCCCCTGAAATTATACAGTCAGTTAAATATTGTATTCACTTCAACGTTTATCGCCTTGGAATGTTAACCAGTAACTCGGTTACTTACGACATTGAAAATCATTTTTAAAGTGTAAGAATACGCCGTTGTAAAACCTCGGGGCGTGCATATGGAGAGCTGGGCGGCAGTCTACTCTGTGATCGCTAGACAGTACTTTTGGATTATTAATATAACCAAATTAATACCTGACACAGCGGTAACATACAGAACAACACCAATTGTACCTTGAATGAAGGGGAAAGGTGTTTTCTTTTTAAAAGAAGTTAAAAGTGTCATATTAAGAATCCTCTTGACGTATTCCTGTTACAAAATGTATCAAAATACTGAAATGTGACAAAACAAAACTAGCTTTGTACTTGTAGTCTATAGTTGAATCATTTTTGGACGTAACGCTTGTTAAATGTTTATAAACTTTTCTAACCACATTGCCTTCTGGTGCCCATATTTCAAACTATAAAAATTGAAAGTGCCTTATGAATAAAGAAAAAGGTGTTATACGTCGTCAAAGTTGATGCAGCGTGCCTTATTTAAGATATGCACATCTTTATACGACTCTCATCACTTTCAAAAGTTCAGGCGGAAACTGCGGGACTAGATTTGTTTAGAAGGTATTGTGTTCAGACGGACGGACGGACGGACGGACGGACGGACCGACCGACGGCCAGAAGGACAGCATGACAACATATAATTCACTAAGCTGTCGGCGGGTCTTTAAAGCAAAATCGTAAGTACCGAGAAAAATAACAGCAGCTGAGGAAACATAATAATAAAACAAAAGATACAAATTTACCTTGAACACAGCCAAAGCAAGTCTAGCCTGCATCTCCGCCATTGGCGGCGACGGCCCCGCGGCCTGTATCAAGCCTATGACACAGATGGTTGGTTGAGTAGAAACAGGCGGGAACATGAACTTATACAACGTATTACGGTTTGCACTCAGTCCGTGAACGGAAGAGTGTAGAAATGGGTAGTCAAATGTGTATCCGGTTGCAAGAAGTATCACGTCTACGTCACATTCTGTTGTTCCATCATCAAACTCCACGCTGGTCTTGTGAAGACGTTTTACACCTGCCTTGATGACGATGCTTCCACATGCTATACGACTCGGCAGTTCGTCGTTAACAAGGACGCCCTTTGCAAATGGTCCACTATCCGTTTCCAGACAATATGCCTGGTGGTTGACTGTTTGGTTTAATTTCTTCAAATATAAAGTTTCGATCAGAGACCTGGGCAGATAGCTAAGAGCTCCGCGCCTAAACCTAGTCAGGTGGATCATATCCACCGGCATTCCAGCTTCGGATATCCGGCCTAATATGTAGCGTCCATCTCGCGTGCTCAGATACACCTGTCCATATGAGGGGAAACATAAACCAAAATATAGGAACAGTACAAAAACCGATGAAAAATCAATGGTTACGTATAGATACATAAGCAGTAACGTTGTTTTTGACAAGCAGTATTATTCTATCGTAGATATACCTGGCAAATGAAAAAAAATGCATTTCCCCATCACTTTATTGATGTAGCCATTATCGAACTGTATTTAATCAAATGGAGATTTTGGAATATTACTTTGACCAAATACTAATATGAATTATTTGAAATTCGTGAATATTATTTTATTTTTTTAAGTTTTGCTTCAAACCATATCTGTTACGTGTTCGTGTGGATTAGTATTATCGACAGGCACAATATTTCAGATGCATAAGTCATTTTTGTTGGAGTCTACATTAGCTTAGATAACTGAGTATTTCCTTGAATGAGCTTAAGCTAGGTACCAGGCATTTTGATGAATTTACATCTTGTATTAACCCTATACCGGGTATCTAGATCTATTGAAAAATATATTAAATACAGAGTATTTGGTTTAGCGAAATAAATGCAAAAGATGTATCCTGTATTTTACTTTTACCATCAGTACGTACCTTGGACGCCACACGACTCAATTCTACAGCAGCATCACCACCGGAGTTCCCGATGCCAACCACCACAACTTTTTTGTCCTCAAAACCATGAAAATCCCTGTAGTCGTGTGAATGTATGAGTTTCCCTTGAAAGGCGTTCTGACCAGGGACGTTGGGTACAAATTTGTCTTTGTAATGCCCACAGCAGACCATGACGTTATCAAACGTCTCCGTCGTCAGCTTCCCTGTGCTGCCATCCTTGGACACAACTGTCCATTTGCTCTCTTTCTCCTCTTGGACTGGTTTGACTGATACGATCTGTTGGTACAATCTCAGAGGTAATAGGGGGCTTTAATAATATTAATGACAATAATAATAATAATATACAACATTTGATATAGCGCCCTATATAGCTAATATAAGCCACTCTAAAGCGCTTTACAGAACATAGTCCTGACCACACAACTCGAATTGTATGGGCAGGAGAAAAACGTTTTCTCTGAATGATCGAACCCCGGTCGCCTGCGTGGAAGGCCAGAGTGTTAACCACCCGACCAATCCGCCCATAACACAGATGTTGTTGATTGGAAAGTGCCACCAAGTCTTGTCTAAATTTTGTCTTGTGTATAGGTGTGAACTTGCTCATGTTTGTTATTTGTTATTCAAAGAACGTTACATTTGCCAGGATAAAAGGACATTCCTTAAACCTTTTAACTTACGGCTAATCTATCTATGTCTTGCTCAAGGTACATGGACATTGACAAATAAAGAAATTGAAAGGTACACATTAGTGTCTTCTGCAGTTCGTCGTAAATTGGACTTCACACAGAGGTATTGTAGGTGTAACACAAAGGGATGTACCTCCGAACCCTGAAGGACACCATATCTGACGTCAACGTGGCCATATCTTTCCAATTCTATAATTTTTGTTTGCTATCTGTTACCAACGAAGTTATCCATCCAGATATTTACTTTGTCGCCGATACCACAGTATCAGTAGCTAACCTTGCGAAACTCTTGTTTCTTTGTCAATGGTGAAATTGGCATAATCAATAAATTTAAAAGGCTGGCTCTCATTCGATAGAAATCTACTGAAACCATGTTCAAGAGGGTAGTTCATGGTGCTAATGACCACTCTGCGGTCTAACAACAGTGTATTTATTGTAGATACATACATAGGAAAATGGACCTATATTACCTTGATTTGGTTCATGCTAACTCTTAATCAGTACATACATGTAAGCTATTTCAGATAAGCTCTTCAAACGTTTTAGCTTTTAACACATAAGACCTGGTAGCTTTGAAAAGGAATTGGGTTGTGTAGTAGTTTTAGTTTAATAAAAGCTATTTTTTATCTTTATCCTATTTTATACCACCTACCGGTAGCATGATAAATTCATTACCATTGGTTGTCAGTATGAGAAGAAGTTGGGAACGACATGAGAACAACTTCAGAAGCTCAGAAAAGAACGTCTGCTCGCGCCAGATGACGAACGAAACCGGATATAGTGTCCACACAAGCGATCCGCGTAAGAAAATATTACGTCACAAACATATCAATACAAAGTTACGGAAAATTATTGTGAGAATAACATCACCATTTCAAGTGTAAATGTGCATATGGAAAGGCCAATGACGATAGGATTGTTTTGAAAATATTTATCCTACGTGGTTTTTAGGTTCATTGTATTCCTCCGCGCAAAACTTCTATTTGTTTACGTTTATCACAGGTGATCGTTGACCATTGAGCTTAGAAGTCATTTGGAAAACATGGTGTTTAGTCGAGTTTTTTAAATGGAGAAATATATAAGGTAGTAGTATGTAGATGATGAATAGTTTATCATACAGTATTTTCAGTGTTTACGCTCGCACGTAGAAAAAATCTCGAGTCCACCTGCGGTGGCCTCCCGATTTTATCCACGTGCTCGCGATGAGAAAATTGTTCTCACGACAAACCCTGAAAATACAGTGTGATAATCTATAAATAATAACATCAAAAGAATACCGAAGTGTCAACAAACCCGTCATTTAAATCAACAGTATTGTACATGGGGCAAAATATAAACAATGAATGATTTATATAGAGCCTACTGAAAAAGTAGGTCAACTCCAAGGAAAGTCTTTAAAGTGAGAACCAGGTTTAATTAGTTAAGTCAGACATTACTGGATAGACGGAGTGTTATAGCTATTTAGAAATTGATCAACTGGTAATTGTCAATCTGATAAACTGAACACAAATTTGCAAATGTACATGGTGTGCGCCAGCTTTGGAGGGGTGAGCATGCCTTCAACATTCTACAAGTACGGTCGAAGGAGCTGGCACAGAATGCTTTAGTCAGAACTTTGTACATGACCCCTGGTCCAGGTCCCCAATTCTTATTATATAGACTCTCTTTTCCTGAGCTGACGAATTGATGTTCATAGCTGGCTGAGTTTAGGTCTGGTGTTCTTGTAAGATATATTGTCCTTTAACAAACTATGGAGTAGTGCCTAATAATTCCAAATAATTTTTACACTGTTCGGCGGTTGTAAATGTGATTTTGAAGTTTTAGCAAGATTTTTTCATGTATTTCCCCACTAAGCATGTTTGTAAAGGGGATGGGAGATACTATGAGGAATAGATTAGGCGTGGTGAAAATAGAGGCTGAGTTCTAAAAGGACACAGTCATGGTCAGATATGCCAGGTAAAACTTCAGCTCTTCACCCCTGCAGGTGGGGGATCGGGTAAAGAATACATCTGTTGTTACCCACTGCATTTTTCGTAGGAGGCGACTATTGTGGGAACCACATGCAGATTGGGATTTTGCTTTGGTGTCCTCTATTTGGGGACAAAAAAAAACACCAAAATAAATCTGATGTGCCCATTGCAATATTTGGAATCTTTTTTTTTCTTTGTACTTCTAACTTCCTTTTATTTCCTAGCGCCTTGTTTGGAAACACCTCATTTTTGACTTGAATGTTAAGCGTTCGCCCAGGTGAGGTAGGCAATGGCTTCTGTCCCAAGGCCGGGACATACCAAAGTCTTTAAAAACGGTAGTTGTTATTCCCTACTCAACGTTCAGCATTAAGGGGAATGGCAACATACCATACTGTCCCTGCATGGACCTGGGTTGATTCCCATGTGATTAGATTTGACGAGGAAAGGCAACGGTATAAGATTGAGTGACTTTTTGTGAACGATATTTGATTAATATTTCTTGATTTGGACTATGTACACGCCATTTGTATATAGGGCACATCAGCTATGTCAGTGAGAGTATGATTGTACAAGAACGGTTGGATGAAGTGCTCTGACTGAAAAAGCTAGTTCCAGCATTTAATGGTTCAGCAGATTGTCATCCGTAAAATGGTCGTAATACTTTTGAAGTACATATGTATACATTCATACGTTTTATGATCGAACTATCTCTGCTGGGTGAATAATAACATGCAAAAATAGTGTTTTCATATGTGTTGAAGCGCATAAATTTACATAAGACTTACCTCTGTTTTGAAGCGAATGTACGGACGCAAACCAAACTTGTCGGCGTACATTCTGAAGTATTGTAGCATCTGGCGGTTGTGAGGATACATTGGGAATCCCCGGGGAGGAGGGAAGTCGCTGTACGTCGTCATCTCTTTGCTGGTGTTGGTTATTGTGGATTTCATGACGCTGCCCTGACCCTCCCGAACGTCTGGCGTGTAGTTCCATAGTCCACCTATAGTTGTTATATAAACAGCATGCAAATAAATGTCACTGAACGGTTTTACATCCACTTCACTTTACCCCACCTTTCACATTAAGGTACACATAACTATAGCACAAAACACCTGTTTTTCTTGAGCACATCCCATATACCAAATCAAATTAAATTACCTTAATTACATATTCAAGAACAGAGAAATATGACAAATTACATCATAACATACCAGACTCTAGCACAAAACAAGTCAGTACGTCCCACATACCGCCCTTCCACCACACACTAGTACAAACCAAGTCAGCACGTCACTCATACCAACCTTCCGACACACTCTAGCACAAACCAAGTCAGCACGTCACACATACCGCCCTTCTACAAACTCTAGCACAAAACAAGTCAGCACGTCAATCATACCAACCTGTCACCACACTCTAGCACAAAACAAGTCAGCACGTCAACCAAACCACCCTTCCACAAACTCTAGCACAAAACAAATCAGCGCGTCCCCCACCCCACCCTTCCGCCACACTCTGGTACAAACCAAGTCAGCACGTCACACATACCGCCCTTCTGCAAACTCTAGCACAAAACAAGTCAGCGCGTCAATCATACCAACCTGTCACTACACTCTAGCACAAAACAAGTCAGTACGTCCCACATACCGCCCTTCCACCACACTCTAGCACAAACCAAGTCAGCACGTCACTCATACCAACCTTCCGACACACTCTAGCACAAACCAAGTCAGCACGTCACACATACCGCCCTTCTACACACTCTAGCACAAAACAAGTCAGCACGTCAATCATACCAACCTGCCACCACACTCTAGCACAAAACAAGTCAGCACGTCAACCAAACCAACCTTCCACAAACTCTAGCACAAAACAAATCAGCGCGTCACCCACACCAACCTTCCGCCACACTCTGGTACAAACCAAGTCAGCACGTCACTCATACCAACCGTCTACCACACTCTGGCACATCGATCAAACCGGGTACATCACACCTATGTGGCCATTAATCCGGCTCACAATAAATAACTGCCACAATCCAGAACACCTCACTTACAACAATTTGCAAATTCCACCACACTCTAGCACAAACCAAGTCAACACGTCACTCATACCGCCATTCCGATACACTCTGGCACAAACCAAGTCATTACGTCACTCATACCAACCTTCCACCACACTCTAGCACAAACCAAGTCAACACGTCACCCTTCCACCACACTCTAGCACAAACCAAGTCAACAAGTCACTCATACCGCCCTTCCACCACACTCTGGCACAAACCAAGTCATTACGGCACTCATACCAACCTTTCACCACACTCTGGCACAAACCAAGTCATTACGTCACTCATACCGCCCTTTCACCACACTCTGGCACAAACCAAGTCATTACGGCACTCATACCAACCATTCACCACACTCTGGCACAAACCAAGTCATTACGGCACTCATACCACCCTTTCACCACACTCTGGCACAAACCAAGTCATTACGGCACTCATACCAACCATTCACCACACTCTGGCACAAACCAAGTCATTACGTCCCTCATACCGCCCTTCCACCACACTCTAGCACAACCCAAGTCAACACGTCACTCATACCGCCCTTCCACCACACTCTGGCACAAACCAAGTCATTACGTCACTCATACCGCTCTTTCACCACACTCTGGCACAAACCAAGTCATTACGTCAGTCATACCGCCCTTCCACCACACTCTGGCACAAACCAAGTCATTACGTCACTCATACTGCCCTTCTACCACACTCTAGCACAAACCAAGTCAACACGTCACTCATACCGCACTTCCACCACTCTCTAGCACAAACCAAGTCAACACGTCACTCATACCACCCTTCCACCACACTCTGGCACAAACCAAGTCAACACGTCACTCATACTGCCCTTCCAACACACCCTAGCACAATCCAAGTCAACACGTCACTCATACCGCCCTTCCCCCACTCTCTAGCACAAACCAAGTCAACACGTCACTCATACCACCCTTCCAACACACTCTAGCACAAACCAAGTCAACACGTCACTCATACCGCTCTTCCACCACTCTCTAGCACAAACCAAGTCAACACGTCACTCATACAGCCCTTCCACCACACTCTAGCACAAACCAAGTCAACACGTCACTCATACAGCCCTTCCACCACACTCTAGCACAAACCAAGTCATTACGTCCCTCATACCATCCTTCCACCACACTCTGGCACAAACCAAGTCATTACGGCACTCATACCAACCTTTCACCACACTCTGGCACAAACCAAGTCATTACGTCACTCATACCGCCCTTCCACCACACTCTAGCAATAACCAAGTCAACACGTCACTCATACCGCCCTTCCGACACACTCTGGCACAAACCAAGTCATTACGTCACTAATACCAACCTTCCACCACACTCTGGCACAAACGAAGTCATTACGTCACTCATACAAACCTTCCAACACACTCTGGCACAAACCAAGTTAACACGTCACCCACACCAACCTTCCGACACACTCTGGCACATCGATCCAACCAGGTACATCACATCTACATGGCCATTAATCCGGCTCACAATAAAATAACTGCCACAATCCAGAACATCTCACTTTCGACAATCTAGCAAATTAGAACTGCTACAATGAACTACACTGCGCCAACGATTTTCAGCTTGCCCACTTACCATATCTTTACATAACACACTCTAGCACTCAATCCACCACACTCCAACATATCACATTGCACATATCATACTTCACATATCATACTTCACATATCATATTTCACATATCATACAACATACTTCACATAGCATACTTCACATATCATATTTCACATATCATACATCATACTTCACATATCATACTTCACATATCATATTTCACATATTATACATTATACTTCACATATCATACTTCACATATTATACTTCACATATCATATCCTCTTACTCACATCAGCACATTAAACATACCTCATTTCATCACACAGCACCTACCAAGAGCCCAGCACACCGCACACTAAACACACTAAAACACATTGCAACACACGTCACATTAACCACACCCCAGCACACCTCAACATTTCAATTCTAACATATCTACCACACTCAAGCACACTCCAAATTACATATAAAACACTAGCACACCTCACCATCCACAATCCAGCACACCACACTATTCAAACACTAGCAAATATATCCTGCTCCGTTCCAGCCATTCATCCTAGCAAGATACTGACCAAGTACCATCACCCAAAGCACCTTTGAGCACCCTAAGTATCTTGGTTACTCAAAAGAGGTCAGTTAATTGTCTAAACAGTATTCCACGAGACGTTGACAGCTGGTTAATGATATTTGTTAATATAAATTTGAAAGTCCATCATTTCGCCATGCTACTGGCCAAATACGATCGTCCTAGGTCTATTTGTTATTTCAAAGTTCGTTCAAAAACTTAATTTTGTTCTCTTTGGCCTTGAAAGAGTGTGAAAGTCATTCAATTAAACAATGTGATAGTCCTTTATCAAAGTATACAATTGGCAAAAAATCTTTACGTTAAGACTTCTTTGTAATTCAGAAGCCGTTTAATGTTTTAACGTATTTGGTTGATGTGACCTTGAATTGAATGAGTGTGATTTATTTGAACACAATTTGAAAGCACTTCATCCCAAGAGGCTTCTGACATAGTATCACCACATTAGGTCCCTTGGTTATTATAGAAGTTGTTTAAATATTTCGACAAATGTGTACCCTGTACGTAATATTGAATGTAGGTCAAGTAATTAAGTTAAACAAACATGAAAGTCCTTAATCAACGCATGCAGTGTGCCAGGTATCATCACATTAGGCCTGTTGGCCATTCAGAAGAAGTCGTTTAAATGTGTGAACAGATTTGACCTCTGTGATATTGAAAAAGGGCCAAGGTCATTTATCTGTACAAAGTTGTTTACCCTTCGTCCCAGAGTACTGCTCGCCATATATTATCACCTTGTGTTTCGGGGTATTCAGAGGAAGTCATTAGTGTTTAAACTATTTGACCCTTATTGGAATGATACCGACTAAATTTCAACATCAAATGCCTCTTGGTTATTCATAAGGGGTCGTGTGATTTTCTAACAGATTTAACCTCTTTTACCAAATGTCACCACCCTTGGCATCTTGGTTATTCAGAAGAAGTAATTGTGTGTAAAATGTTTACACCAGACAGACCGAAGACGGACGCTCCATCACAACAAAAGCTAAAATGACAACAAATAAATAACCTACACTGACAAGAGCGCAACACACCATGCCAGCAAAGTGCTTTCCTCTGCTATACTTTAAGGAGGCTCCACCCTTTCGCAATTAGCCAGCAGAATTCGATGAAAGTTTCACATAATGGTTATGTCAATATGTAGATAAGATTTCATGAAAATCTAAGCATTCCGATAAACTGGGGATTTCTTTGTAAAAAATACCAAAAAATAGATTTTTTATCAAATTCAACACTTTAACATTTTTTGAGTGTGTGGCATTGTTCAAAACTATTACATCAATAAAATAAAGAAAGGAAACATTGCTAATCAACCCTACAAATATTTTATTTATCATAAAATATCTAAAACATGTTACAAAAAGCGTTTTTTTATAGAAATTGTATGGATAAAAGTTACTAAATACAAGCTAAAAGTAAACAGGACACATAGTTTCATACAAAAAGAATGAAAAATTAAACCAAATACACACAATTAAAGTCTTTATAATTCATTTATTTTATATTTTACAATAATTTTGATCCTGACGAGAGTTGTCTACTTGAAAAAAACCGGAACTTTTTGCAGAGGGATAGAATTTATACAATGCCACTTATTATTGTACTATTGTTTACCCGGTGTTACTATAATTTACATTACGGTAATAGAATGCCCGATACGCAATACGGAAATGACGACACGAAAATACGACAAGAAAAACATGTGTATTACGAAGGGTGGGAAGTCCTTAAACGTACCACACTAGCCCGAGTTTCCTAACACCAGACTTAAACATTTTGACAGATATATGTCCCACACCAGACAGCTATCAGTCAAAATGTCTAAATCTGGTGTTAGGGCCACAGGAAACTGGATCCAATATCACACATATACCACACTTAAATTACACTTCAGCACGATATTACACTACGCGGCACCTGCATGCACACTCCACTGACTCAGACGTCAACACACCAAGCTTATTATCCCGATTACCTACCGATATCGTCAGTCCTTTCAAAGCAGACAGGTTGGAGTCCCTCATCCAGACAGCATTTGATGGCGGGGAGACCACTGGCCCCCGCCCCTATCACAGCCACTCGTTTCATTTAGCTACGTACGTACGTGTTCAGTGCTGGATACTGTGTAAATCAAGATCAGCTGTAGCTAGTGCATGACCATGCTTTAATATATATATATCTTTGTGGAGACTTTAGACTCGAAGGACCGTCCTCTATGGACTGCTGTGCTTTTCAGTAGACAGAGCCAACATCAGTTACACCATTATCAATACAAACATATCAATAACTCATGATCACAGCTCTTAGTTGTTTACACATACAAAAGTAAATTTGCTACCGAATTTACCAGATAATCTGTGTGTTGTACATGTATATAAGGTTATCGAAGTGAACTTATAGCTCACTGAATTATATATGACCCATATAGCATCACCTCAGCAATCCCTGAATGTGTGTGCATGTCCGTGTTAGGGGTGATTAATATCGAAAGGTGAATATCCGGGTCACTCAAGTAATGTAAACATTAGAACTGCCGTAGGACGTTTTCATATAAGTACCTATCGCGAATGGAGCACAGAATTACTGATTACATGTACATGTGCATTAGTTACCTTGTTTCTCTCATTCGTGATAGGTACCTATGTATGGCGTGTTTTAACTGCCGAGTACCACACAAGGTCGGCATGTGGATCGGTTCATATATATATTTAGAGAATGGCTATGAAAAGAGGTCTGTACGGGAAGTTGTAGTAGAATGCCTCGACAAATGAAGACTGGGCCTGGTAATGACGGGGAAACCGGCTAATTGACAGTGTTATGTGCGAGTCACAGTTCATGCATGAACGCGACCATACAGATATATTCTGAAGTGAATTGGTCGAACCTTCTCATATCTTCATATTTTGTATTGATGCCAAGTAAAGCTACTTCGTGTTGTGTATAGGAATATCACGTACTCCCAACAAGAGTAACCTATAGCTATTGACGGTATGAGGTACACACTCTCTGGTACAAGAACAAGAAACTTTATTTTTTGTCGTATATATATGTAACAAAATAACATTAGGTCCGAAGAGCTATTCTTACGATAGAACATGATAAAAATGTCATAGTGGGCATAAATGTAACAAAACATGAATTACAAAATTAAAATTGAAATAGAAGTATACAAACATACAGGAAGAAACACAAGCTCATAAAAAAGCACACACACAAACCACATTTAACTACATAGTCAGATATATTCATTTAAAACATTACACTATGATATCAGATTAGATTAGATTAAGATAATGGAATGTGATTAAGTTAAATTTGTTTAATTACAATTATCTAAATAATAAAAAAAAATCAATATATGTAAAATGCATTTGAGTCTGTTAAGATCCTGATTTCTCTTGTAAATACAGTAAAAATAGTTCAGCTCAGAGGACAAGCCCTCTGGCCATAGGAAGAGCGCATTATATGAATTACAGATCTAGATCTCGGCACATATAATCAGAGGACATTTGATACTGGGCAACCCCTTCCTACCAAGTCCTCTGATAAAACATACCGAGTAAAAGCTGTCTTTTTCTGGCTTGATGGTTACATCATTAATACTAAAAGATTTTATATTTTCAACTGATTTCTTACCAATGCAAAGAGCCTGCAATACAACAGACTCCAGAAATTTCTTTAATTTTTGAGGGTCTTTGTATGAAGAGCCGACTGTATTGTCATCTGCATAATTGTTAAGTTTAGATGGCTTAACATAAAAGAACATGTAATTTGATAAGAATGTTGAAAAGTAAAAGGGTCCGATAAATGAGCCCCTGGGAACTCCCTTTGAGCACTCCCAACCAGTCAGTCGCCGCATTTGGAGTCAAGCTTAACCTGTTGTACTCCGTCACTCATATAGCTGGATACACCATACGATGAGGAAGGCAGTAAAAAGCTTTAGACAGGTCCATGAGGATGGCAGCGACATACTCACGGTTGTCTAAAGCCTTGCGCCAGTCCTTAATTAATCTTAACAGGGTAGTCTAACAGCCAACCCATGGTCTGAAGTCTGCTAAAAAGGATTTGAAAACGTTACTAAAATATTCAGCAAGCTGGTCACACATGGTTCTCTCAAAAGGTTTTGAAACACTGGGTAGAATGCTTACAGACCCGTAGTTTTGTTAATGTGACAATCTGTGCCTCCTTCAGCCGATTGGGAAAGACATTTACATTAAAACTATGATTAATTATATTGCACAGGGGGTGGCTCATGTTATTGCTACAGACCTTCAGTAATTTCGAGGAGATACTATTGACACCAGTTGCTTCTTAACAATGTATTATTAAGTGCTGAAATGCTCTATTTCACATAATTTGGTAAAAGCAAATGTATTTTCTACATTTGTCTGTTTTTGATATTGGAAATAATGGCATCATCAGCTACGGAACCATCATTTCCAATATCACTAGTCACATGTACAAAGGCACAATAACCAACATCTCTTGCATTGAGAAAAAGTAAACAACCTCACTTGTGTCGAGGCGCCATAACAAATACTTCATAACTTCTATGTGACCGGGTGGGGTGTCCTGCTGGGTGTCTTCGGCAGTTTGTTTCAGTGAGGTAGCACTAAAAAGTCGGCATCAGTTCAGTGCTATCACAAGAAGACAAACACGAACATATCGCATCCTCCCAAAACACACACGCATGCATCTTGCACACAGGGGAGGCCGTCCTTAAATGACCATAGATGTTGATAGGATGTTAAACAATACTAAACCAAACCAAACAACTTCTCTTTTATCAGTGAGGCGAAAATGACCAACATCTCTGTTAACAGGGCATAGTTATTTATTCCTCTTGTACTCATTTTATTAAACAGATCCTCTTGTGTAGAGATATAAATGGGTCCGTCTTAGCGGGTTTTCAAAATTGGGAGGATTCACAAAGGAAAGGCATGATTATGTTCAGGACTCAAATACCTGTGTCCACAATTCACTATTACCCTAGGGGCCATAGTGAATTGTGGACACCTGTATTTGAGTTTATGCGGAACAACCGGTTTGTCTGTTTTTAAATTTAACGTTTTCATGTAAATCTTGGCGGACCTGCAAATGTTTATGCAGGCCTTGCAAGGCTTTGTGAAGGCTCGCATGAAAGCAGCATCAGATTACCAGGTCCAACCTAATTTTGTCCTCTTAACTTTTTATATAATGTTAACATGCTGGCCTTTTGTATGACCCATGGATCAAGTCTCCAGGGATAGAGCAGGACAGTGAGGCCAATATTCCTGGTAGTTATGTTTATTTAATTTGTAAACATGTTTGGTTCATTACCATTGTAGAATACTTCAATCCAAATACGGTCAATTTCTATTGCATAGTTTCAGAACAGTTACAAAAATCAATATTGTCAAGGTGCCTTTGGGCGCACCCTCCCCCCCGGGGTTGGAAGTCAGCCCCTCCATTTGTAAAATTACCCTTTTTGGCTCCACCACTCAGTCTCCTCCTGAAGTCAGACCCTCCATTTGTAAAATTACCCCTTTTGGCTCCACCACTCAGTCTCCTCCTGAAGTCAGACCCTCCATTTGAACAAGTTTGAATCCCCAACACCTGAGAATGCTTTCTACAAAAAATTGTTGATACCCTTCTCATAATTCCAGTAAAGTCGCTTAAATAAATATGGCCAAATAGTCCCTTTGGCTTCATCCCTCGGACACCTGGCGGTTTTTTTTCTCCTATAGTTCTCTGCCAGATGCATGCAGCAGTGCAAGAAAAGCTGTGGTAAATTCTAGTTTATCACCAACCTCGACACAAAGCCTCTTTGCATTCTCCGCCTCATGCTAGTACATGACTTACGGAACTACTGTAGCTGTTATTTTCATACACAGGTATTCTTCACAATTCCCGAATTATAATTGATGTACTGTCAATCCAGTAACAGATTGTTGACCCATCATGATTGGATTTGCATTCCGAAACTTTCATGTCTACCACTGGTTTGGTCGGAGCCTCTCGTGTTACTTTCCGTGCTGTCCCTACCGAATGATTCATGGCCAAATATTAGATTTCATTTCTTTTTCCTTTTTTTTTTTTTTTTTAAACTTCCATGTTCTTTTCTCATCTCATTTTTGATTCCATATTCCCTTACCGGTAATGTAAAGCAAGATTCATTCATCTTACAAGTCCGAGGTCACCTTTTTAGATGCCAAACACCTTTACCTTAGAATAATTACACATAGCTATAGCATGTACAGATGTAATGAGTAACCTACATCTAGTGAGAGTGTGTGGTGACAAAATCTGGTTTGATAATTGATCTACAACAAACACAATCTACTACTAAGTTTATAGATTTTATTAGAAATAAACACTGATATGAAATGCGAATACATAATAGCTCACAATATTCAAATTTTCAAGGTCAAGTTTACTCGGACCCTAGAATAAATACACCAGTAAACGATAACAATAAATGGGTCCACTTTAGTCCAAAAAAAAAGTGTATTCATTCAATGAACTGGGTGTTTTTTGTGAAAGACAAATTCTTCAAAATTCCAAGGTAGATCTGAACGTAAAAAGTTACAAAAAAACAACAAACAAGAATTTATCAATAGGAAACAAAACGTATGGAATGAAAAGTTTCAAATAAGCACGATAAATAGCACACAAGCAATTAGATGTGGACTGAAGCACTACATGTAAAACGACAAGCAAAGCAGATCTGATGGGGTATGATTGTTCTTTTAAATAAAAACCTCGGTATACTGCCCATTGCTCCAGATGACAGCTTACTTACCACTATATTACCAAGTCCTTTTTTCTCTTCATCGAAAGAATTTTTGAATTCATTTCCCTCAATTTTGACAATTGGTGGCAGTATAATGAGGTTTTATTGTAAATGTATCACAAAAATTGTTTTGTAGGTAGATCTGATTGAGAATAATAGTTATTCAAATATAAACATTTGTAAAAAAAAAAAAAATCTTTATATTTGATCTGATTAAATACGTTTTAAATTCAAACAAAAATCAACTGCATCTTGTAACAAATAAACAGATAAATACAGAGATGCAATATGCAGTAATATGGCTGCAATCCGACAGGAGTTTCACATAAACCGACATTTCTTTTAATCAATTCAAAAAAAAAAAAAAAAAAACCTTGTGTATCCTTTTATTCTCACTTTATAACAAACAATTCTAAATGGAGTTATTGATGAAAACCCTTGGTTTCTGCACTGAAAGGTGGGTGGGACACAAACATGAATATTAGTGGTTGCTGTGAGCAGTAACGATCGAGCAATTAAGGAGGGAGATCATTTATTGTAGTTCAGCCAACTACAGTTATAGTTAATTTGACCAAAGAAATCATTGCTAAAGCAAGAAACAATGTACTTCATTAGAGAGTGTATTCAACTCATTCACCCCTGAAATTTCATAATGAACTATTCCAACCTTTGAACTGGAAGAGTTCAAATGTGTCTTCAGGGGTGAATGAGTTAAATCAATGGCAGGTGTTTATTTTTTTTCTCACTTCATCTTTATGCCCCTGTAACAAAGCCTACAGATACAGTCATGTACTGGTTTCAGTAGATCTGTTCATGTTTAATCAAACTGATTATATTTTGTGAGATTCAAACAACTAATCTATAAGAATTATTTGAATTTTTCAAGCTAGCGTTCGCAACTATGTCAAAACGTATATGCCAGTTATGAGAGTCTGTTTGGATTTTCTTCGATGACTCGGGTTCTCCTGTTGTCTACATCCCGAGAATGGCATGTTTCCTGAGGTCCATGATCGGGTCCCGCAGTTTTCCATAAATCTGCGAAAAATGTCAAAAATAATCTTTAAAGCTTATATATAGTATTAAGTATATGGTTTTGATGGTTATAACTTCACATATGTTTTTCAGTTTCCTGCATATTTTTTGCCTTTAGATGTAAAAAAAAGTTTATCAGAGGAAAAGAGGTACTCATAACCTTACAGGTACTTTATATATACAAATATTCAATGCAACTTAAAATGTGGTCTGACCAAAATTTCGCTATTATCCTAGCTCATATAAATGTTGACTGTGATCCATCAATATTTAGGGAAGCAATCTTCCAAAAATACCAGGCAAAATGCAATAAAAGAAGTAGCTATTAACTAAGAAATGATGTACATAGATACAGCCTATCTTTTAACTATTGGAATTCAGTCAATACATGGTCCAAGAGGCAGGTGTTTCCAGAATTTCAGACATGTAGGTATATAGTGAAATTACTTTACAGGAAGCAATGTCATACAGAAAGAATGACTAGCTAAAAACATCTTCTTGTTTTTTCTTTTTTTTTACAGGGGATTTATATAATTACTGGGTTTTTTTAAACTGGTGACTAGTACCTAGGTTTCATTAGGGCATGCAAAAATGTGTACATTTGAATTGGTTTTTTTTAAAAGATCTAATATACTATATACTGTATATTAATGTACCACTTTTACTGGAAATCCTCTGACATAGTTAAGTCATGACTGTACATACCATATGCCGTGCCCTACCACCCATACAAATGGGTGGGGGAGTGAAGACACCTTCATTAGCGATTCCAACGGTCACGTTAGTATACCCAATGGTTTCAACAAAGCTCACTAGAATGACAAAACAAAATATTTCATTTAGTAGTGCACATGCAAGGTAACACAGCTATTGCTTACATACAAAGGGACACAAACCCAGTAACACAAAACACAGGCAAACAGCTATTGTACACAAATACGAGGACACACAGACATACAAACAAGAACACAGGGACACAAACTGAGGACCTCGAACACATGGAAACAAGTACAGGGACACAAATACACAAACACAAACTTATGGACATGTCGACACAAACTCACAGACTGTGTGACACAAAACAACAACATAACAAATCAGACAACCGCAGGGTCTCAAACATGGACAGAAACAAAACCACAGGGACACAAACACAGGGCCTCAAACACAAGGACAAAAACACAGGGACACAAATACAGGAACAGAACCATAGGGACACAAACACAGGGCCTCAAACACAAGGACAAAAACAGAGGGACACCAATACAGGAACAAAACCATAGGGACACAAACACAGGGCCTCAAACACAGGGACACAAACACAGGGCATCACATACAGGGGCACAAATACAGGGCCTCAAACACAAGGACAAAAACACAGGGCCACAAACACATGGCCTCAAATACAGGGCCACAAATACAGGGACACAAACACAGGGCCTCAAACACAAGGACAAAAACATAGGGCCACAAATAAAGGAACACAATTATAGGGACACAAACACATGTCCTTAAACACAGGGACACAAACTCACAGACTGTGAGACACACAAAAAAAGCAAATTAAATTAACAAACACAGTTACACAGACACCAACACAGAAACATTTCAGACACAAGGATATGAAGACAATACCAAAACAAAGACATGCACATTGGAAAATACAGTACAGAAACACATGGAAACTAACTAATACAGTGATATATGTGTAAGAAAAATTGATCAGGTTGACAAAGCTAACAGAATGGTCATATGGTTTCTATAAAGATATTTATATTAGTTTGTCAGATTATCAAGATATCTTACCTCCCTTGATTTGTCCAGTTAAGATCTCCGATACAGGGACACAATCGTTAGTAACACTGATACTGGCCATAATTTCTTCATACTTCACCTGGTAGGACTTCACAGTAAGAATATCATCCCCAACTCCTAAAGTGTATGTATATGGCTTGGCATCACCTGTAAATAAACAAAACAGCACGTCACACACAGTGTTTACCCAAAAATTCAGTTGTCTTTAAAAAAACAAATTCCTTCATGTAACAAGAATTTTGTGTCATAATAACTAACACTTCTGCTACATGAATATTGAATTTTTAAGCCCCCTTTTCATAAAACACTGTCCCATTTCAGAAAAGTTAGTAAGTTTTACTTACTTTGAATATAAATTCCTGAAGCACCATTTAGAAAAATTAACAAGCAGCCTTGAGGGCCTGTATCGCTCACCTGGATATTTAAGCAATCATGGGAACATGTTCTCAATAAAAAAAAAAATGCATTTATTTCCATGTATTCAATCATTTTGGCTTAGGCATGTTCCATACTAAATACAATTTACATACAATATCCCAGCATGCTACCGGTCAAATATCATCATCCAGGGCCTCCTGGTAATGTAGAAGAAGTTTTTTAAAGGTTTTTACATATTTGACCCCTCTAACATTGGAAATATGTCAAGGTCATTCATTTGATAAAAGCTTATACAGCACTCCATCCCAAATACCCGCTGGTCAAGTATCATCACCATATGTGTCTTCGTTATTAAGATGTTGAAAGGTTTTAGGATATCTGACCTTTTTGACCTTCAACTTATGTCAAGGTTATCCAGTTGAGGAAACTTCAACCCTGGGTCTCCTGGTTATAAGAAGAAGTTGTTAAACGATTTTTTTTATATATTTGACCACTATTGCCTTGAAAGAAAGTCAATGTCATTTATTAAAGTTAACTTTATAGCACAACATCACAGCATGCCACTGACCGAATATCATCACCATATGTATCTTTGTTATTCATTCACAAGTCATTCATTTTTTTTTTTAAATAATTGACCCCCATGACCTGCAAGATAGGTCAAGGTCATCCATTTAAGGCAGCTTCGTAGCACTACATCCCAGGCACTAACAGACCAAGTATCATCATCCTGGCCCTCCTGGATGTTGTCAAACAATATCTTGAAAGTAGTTCGCAGTCATTAATTGGAGGACACTTTATAGTTCTCCCTCGTAGGTACCTACTGGCCAAATATCATTGCTCATGGCTTTTTGGTTCTTTGGAAGAAATTGTTCAAAAAAAATTAAGATATTTGACTCTTGTGATCTTGAAAGTAGGTCAAGGTCATTTATTTGAGAAAAGTTCATAGCACTCCCTCCCAAGTACCAACTCGCCAAATACCATGGCCCTAGGTCCTACAGTTCTTAAGAAGAAGTCGTTCAAAGAAAAAGTTAACAGACTATGACCTAAGCTCAACTGGCACTTCTAATTCATGCCAGGTGAGCTAATAATAAATAGTACCTGGGATACAAGATTTCTGGAATGGCTTCTTCAGTTCTGCTATAACACATACACCTCTGGAAATGATGTACTGCTTTTCCTTTGGTGGTAAAAAAAAAAGTAAACACTGATTTAGATAGTATTTGCAGAATCTATTTACATTGAGTTATCCTCAGATTGTAACCTTCTATGATTCTGGTTGATACATATTGATTTTACTGATGTTTGCTATATTAGCAAACATCAATAAAATCTATATGTATCAAGCAGCATCATAGACATGTGCGACAGAGGAAATCAGCGAGATTTCTACAGCATCACAGCATAATGCAGTCTCATACTTTTTATGATATTTAATACAAAAAATATTAGATATCCTTAGGAGATGTTAAACTATACAAGTAAGGCTAGCTGATGATGTGTTAATTTTTACATGTTTAATAATATTGTCTCGCAAGTTGTGGTGAAAATATATATATATATCATTATATATATATCTAAGGATCTTACATGAGTTTCCATTTCATATGAGATTTATGAAACGAGTCTAAGAATTTTTCAATTTAGGCTAGCTAAAATGAAAAAATCGTGGGAAGTTTCATAAATTTCATAAGAAATGAAAACGAGTGCAAGATCCTTTTAATCACATAATCAATATTTGTGACATTTATGCGTGTAAAAAAAACGACATTTTCCATGCAACTTTGAAATGTAAAAAGAAGCCATTTTGACTCCAGTGCGTAAGTCTGTGACATCATGTTCTTGTCCTAGGCGTGACGTCACAATTGAAACAATTGAAACAATTGAAACTTACAACCAATCACAGGGGTTGATAGGTCATACATATTACATGGGTTAAATATATATACATGTTTCGTGATGTTGGTATTAACTTCACAGTTCTTAAGCCACATGGTATATGTTTGACAAATAGCCATGTATATGTAACAAAGACAAAATGTTCATGTATATATATATCTTCAGTGATTTTTTTTGCTCAGTTTTACAGCCGAATACAAGCTGTTTCCCCTAGCTAAAAAGTGCCTTATTTTCCCAAAATGACCAAAAGTGAGTAATCTATTCCCAATTTCAATGAAAATAATGCTATATTTTCCCAATTCATAATGGAATGAGCTGATGTAAAACTCAGGTGAAAAAAGCCTGATACTAATCAGCAATAGCTCTCCTGTATAGTGTGAAATCCCAAAATAATTAAACACTAAGAGATCTATATGATAAATGGATGATTTAATAACTCCACTGGCTCATTACAATGATATAACAGGTACAAGTTTGTAGTTGCCATTTCCTAAACACAGGCAGGTGATTTTTTAATTTAGAACAGACATTCAAAGATGTGACAACTTTAACACATTTGATCTAGATCACATGTTATGTAAAATTCTTCATTGTGAAGACAAATGGTACTTTTGACGTACAGGTCCATCAATACTTAACAGAGAATCTGCAGTCACTCGTGTGATGCAGACCGAGACAGGTCAACCAGAGGGTATGATGGTTGAAGTTTAACAGGAGTCATTGCCCATCTCTCCTGAACGTTAAGAGTCCTCTGTCTAACAGGAGTCATTGCCTATATCTCCTGAAGGTTAAGAGTTATCTGTCTAACAGGAGTCATTGCCTATCTCTCCTGAACGTTAAGAGTTATCTGTCTAACAGGAGTCATTGCCTATATCTCCTGAAGGTTAAGTGTTCTCTGTCTAACAGGAGTCATTGCCTATTTCTCCTGAAGGTTAAGAGTCCTCTGTCTAACAGGAGTCATTGCCTATATCTCCTGAAGGTTAAGAGTTCTCTGTCCACATCACACAGCAGTAACTGTTTTTCTCCTACTCTTTCCTGTACATCATTGAATGGTGACCCATTACGCTGCTTCATCATCAAAAGCTTAGGAAAATTGAAATGTATGACAAAATTGATAATGCTTCCCGATAATACTACAACATGCAACTATGATGTATTAAAATGTAGATGTTTTTAGAATAAGATTGTGAGTAAGGTACAATTGTACAGGTCTTTTGCATGGGCAATAAACAGATTTGTTTTCTCTCCAGCAACAAGAGGAAAGCAAATATGAAGTGTGGGAGAATGTACTTTCTGTATATCACACAAAGACTTATAATATGTAACAAGTCATTTGCTGCAAAAATACCTACCCTGCCAAAGTCCATTATGACTTTCCCGGAACGCTCCTTGTCATCATAGTAAACTCTGTAGCCAGCAGCAATCCTCTCACTGAGGGCATCATAAGCAAATGCAATGGAACCCTGTTAAAATAAAAACCATAATTGACAAATGCATTCTTTCCAATTTAGAATAATACTTCACCTGGTACAATGAAATCTTTTGACTCTTTGACTGATAAACTGCCCACACTAACCAATGTTGTATGATCAAACGAGAGGTCCAGAGGGCCTGTATTGCTCACCTGGATATTTGAGCAATCATGGGGAAATGTTCTCAATAATAGCAGCGTTGCAAATTTTCTCAAATACTTTGTCTCCTTTGCTTAAGAATGTTCCAGACTTCCTGAAACTTTATACTACTACATCCAAGCATGCTACTGGTCAAATATCAACACCTAGGTTTCCTGGTAATGCAGAAAAAGTTGTTTAAAGGTTTTAACATATCTGACCCTTGTGACCTTCAATGTATGTCAAGGTCATCCACTTAAGGAAACTGCATAGCTCTACATCCGAGGTAACTACTGGCCAAATATCATCACCCTTTGCCTCCTGGTTGTTTAGAAAAAGCTATTTTTACATATTTGCTCCCTTTGTCCTCGAAAGTAGGTCAAGGCCAATTATTTGAGCACACTTTATAGCGCTCTATCCCAGGTACATAAAGGTCAAATAGCATTGCTCTAGGACTCTTGGTTATTCAGAAGAAGTTGTTTAAACGTTTTTAACAAATTTGACTCTTGCGATCTTGAAAGTACATGTAGGTTAAGGTTATTTATTTGAGGAAACCCTATAGCTCTTCATTCCAGGTACTTACTGGCTAAGTATAATTACTCCGTGCCTCCTGCTTGTTCAGAAGAAGGTTTTTTTAAAGGTTTTTATATATTTGACATTTGTGGCCTTGACAATTTCATCTTCAGACTTTTCGTTAAACAGAGACAATATACAGGGAAGTGATACTATGTTTACCAGGAAATAGATACAGTTTTTTTGTAATGCTAAAATTCCCTTCATTAGTAATTCACAAAGACTATCAACATACAGCTGTTTTTATTACCTGAATGCAGACAATGAAATGTATGCATACATAAATGGAAAACCTTCAACAGGTTGTTAGGATTTACTCTTTGAGTTTAACTATGTGTACATTCCTTTATTTTAAATCTGAACTCTTTTACATCCTTGTAACAACCAAAGGTTACAACTTACATGCTTATACAAGAATTTTGGGTGAAAATGTAACAACATATAGCAGCAACATGAGGCATAACAGATATAGTATGTTTACACTAGAAACCAGGTTAGACAATAGAGGTAGCCCGATTAGTGTGAGACTTGTGAAATCACCAGCTGGACCAGTCGTTGAACTAAAAACCACAAGCCAAACTGATGGGTCAATTGTATTAATTAGCATGTTGAATAATGTTGGGTTACCAAGGACAGTAAAACAGGCAGCTACTCGTACCTTGCCTGACTTGACTAGAGGTTTTAAATTTCTGGCCCTGTAGGAGTGGATATTACAAAACATAGTGCAGAGGTGATCTATCTATCCTTAACCCTTTCACCACTGTAGACCATAATGGACTCATCCATATCAATGCATGAAAACGTCTACTAAAGTTACATAGGGGTGAAAGGGTTAAGGAAATTCTGTAGTCACTTAGCATTGAATGTATATATATATCCAACACTCTCTAGACATTAAGGCTTACTCAAATGCTCATAATTCATGCTGCACATGCTGGATCAAAGTCTACAGCATTAATATGGTCAATAGGGTGGCTCTACGTATTACACGGAACAGGAAAGGAAAAATGAAACAGGATTCAAACCCAGCACCTCGGAACTCTACGCCTACTCTCCCCAATTGAGCTACAATGAGTACCTGAGTACATGCATGGTCACCAGCGATCAACCCAGTCCAGTTCCACTACAGTCTGGCCTCTTTGCCCCCAAAGACAATACTATTTACAACCAATGACGTTTGGTTCTGATATCCCCTTATTTTTTCTATTTTTTTAATTACCATTTGAAAACAGCAAAAGTGCCATTGCTATGGCTACTGGTCAGAGCTTTAGAAAACACATGACCATTGAAATTCATGAGCTGGCGCTATGCCCAATGAAACGGTCAAACCATAGGGGCTTGTATAGACTTATATGATAAAATTAGATATATGTGTTTATATAAACTAAGGTAGTTCTAGCTATTTTTATCATATAAGTCTATACAAGCCCCTGTGCTTCAACAGCAATAAGCAACATTGGTAAAACACTGTTTTCGTGGATCTTTATCAGATTTATAATTCCGTTTAAACATCAAAAAACTAGAAATATGTCAGAATGACATGAAAGTCACCCCAACATGCTGTATGATCATTTTCCGATAAATCATTGACCAAGCTACAACGGATATAGTTCCACCTGTCAATCAAAATGGTAAACAATGACCAGGGGTAAATACATACATGCTGTTCAGATAGCCATGCCAACACATGGAACTAATAGGAAAGCATGTCCCAATTAATTCCATGTGTTGGCATGTCTATCTGAACAGCATGTATGTATTTACACCTGGTAAACAATGACCAGGTGTAAATACATACATGCTGTTCAGATAGCCATGCCAACACATGGAATTAATAGGAAAGCATGTCCCAATTATACACCTCGAATACGGGAGATCTGCGCGCTGACTCGGTCACCTGGCATGGGCAGAACAGGTAATTGGAATATAACAATGTTGTACAACAGTAAGTTTCAGAAAAGATTCAATCTTATATACGGATAAATCTTCTACTTTTTTTTGTTATGAAATACACTTTTCCAAGTAGTTTTCTGATTGTCTGCAGAATGTTTACGCTAAAGGCAGTCACTTCGAAGAGGACCGCCTACAGCCGAATTTGCAAGACATGAAGAACACCAAACAATTGTGATTTCAGCAATTCTCCCTCGAAAAAAAAAGATCGGAATGTATTTGGCTGTTTTGAACCCGTGGATATTTTATTTTCAAACTCAAACTTATCATTATCGGTTCAATTTGCATGGATGTCACTTGTAAATTCCTGCCGGTTAATAGTATCACGTGGCAGACCTCGACTCTTTGCGGTACACAAACTTGCTAACTTCAACCACTTTACCCATGTCGTTTCGACACATTCATACTATCAAGATTGAAGAGTTCAGCATGCTTTTTACCCAAGAACGACATTTTAACCACAGAGTGATAAATGCAATGCAATTCTTCGTTGTTTCCCGATACGTGGTATTTATCAATTCACAACGTAACGTCCTGAAAAGTTGGGCCTACTTTACTCAAGTTTATTTATCTGATTCTATAGTATAATATGACTTAAACTTGCAAGTTTTCGTAATTGTTGAATTGGCAATGCAATCAGGGATTATTCAACGAAATTTAGCAGTTTTATTGCTGTGAGCATATTTCAAAACGTTTCCGAAAATCCTCGAAAAATTTACAAGAAATGGTCGCGACCAAGGACTTGTTTTGGATTGTTCTTTAGTATCGTGTACACCCCTTTCTTAACACGTCATTTTTCCCTTAAAAAAGTGTGCACTATATGCAAATATTAACGGTAGTCGTTGGTCAGACATAAAATATCTAAATCAGTCAATAGCAATTTATAATACGACAGTTTACCCCTTTGGGAACCTCAAAGGTGCCCTGATTCATACTCGGAACATCTTTAGGTTATAATGTAATTCCCCTGGGAAATTTGGAACGCGTTTAGGTTTTGTTCTATTCCTGTTCAAAAAGGAAATTGATATCCGAGTTATCCTAGAGCTTGTAATTAGCGCCTGGTATATTATGACAGAAGCAAGACTCTTTAACAGCCCAAGGCAACTGAGGTCAAAATCTGGGACTAAAACCGGAATTAAAAGTCCCCACTGGGGTTCCCCCAGGGGTGACTAAAAACATACTACAGGCAAATATATATATATATATGTCTCTAATCTCAATGAACATAAAGACTTTGGGAATGCTTGAACGACTGACACAACAGTAGCTGCGACAACCTAGCTTTCTGACGAAGAGATATTTTTTTATATACTGCCGGCGCCGGCCGGAGCAGAGGAGGCCGGGTATCAATATTAGTACTTATGCAACAGGTGAACAAACTATCTTTTCTCTACCAAATACATGATTTGACAACTTGACCATGAGCAAATGTTGGATTTCAGTTTCATTATGCGAGTACCAAATACATATTATAAAACTGCACCACATAAAAATGCATATAAGTGTGATATCGCAAATATACTGTATATTATTGTGACACCAAAAGGTTTTGCGACGTTACTTTTACATATATTCGGACGTGTGACTTTGTCAGGTGCCTTACCGTCTCTAAATTCCCCCTTCCTCGTTCGTCAATCCCGGTGACAATGCCCTCAATTGCTTCCCACTGATCTGGGACACAACAGCTCTCGCACAGGACGACGACGAGGCAGAAAGCCAGGAGACTGCTTACAGCGTTCATGGTTGTTTGTGTAATAACGCTTGCTCACGCGAGGTTGAATTATATATGCACTTCACGCTAAGGTAAACATCGTCATCTCCATGTGATCTGGGCCGGTTTATGTTCTCATTTAGCCGGATGACACGATACAACTAGACCAACCCCGAACCGTCTCCATATTCCTACTCATCCTAATTATTAATACATATAAAAATAGAAGTGACAATTGCAAGTCGTGTATATTTAACAAATACCAAATGAAACTTAGGTCAATGGCTCAATATTCTAATTTTACATATAATTTTACAAAAACTGTTTTTGTGTAGATTAATTCATGTCGCTAAATGTAAGCGCGCCTACTGTGTGTATAATATCTAAAATTAGAGTATTAATCACGTCCCAAATGGAAATTCCGGATCAGAGAGGGACCACAGGGGCTCAGTTTCGGATTCTAAAACCTTATAAAAATGAGGGTATCGAGGTATAAAAAAAAGTACCTTTTATACAATTAACACCGGATAAAAATGTGTTGCTGGTGTGTTAATGTTAAGTTATAGGTTTATTATTAACCGAAAGTATTAAGATTTAGATTTAAGATTTAGATTTAAATTAAGATTTAGGTCATATAGTACACAAAATCCCGAAACCGATCCCCTGCGAGAGGGACACCTTCGTAACACGTCGAGATACACACAGTGACACCATGGTTATCAACAATGTTAAATTAGTCTTTAATTTTATCTGGAAATTCAGAGTTTGCAATCACTTCCTTTACTCTAAAAAGACAACCTTTTCAATCCGCTCGTCTTCAAATCACATTTATTCAGCATGCACTCGACGTCTTAATGAGACCTCAGTTTATTATTGTGTCCGTCTACATATCCACAGGGACCTTATAATTTGTGACAGCTATATTTGGACCTAAACTAAGGTGTTCACAGTAATTTCATATGTGTTAGGGGTTTAAATAAACTTTTAGTCATTGGGGATGTCATTTTTACCTAAAGTTGATCTAAACCCCTAACACATGTAAAATTACTGTGAACATAGTTTAGGTCCAAATATAGCTGTCACAAATTATAAGGTACCTGTGGAATTCATTATCCGTAGGTCAAAGTGAACGTTTATTTTCACTTTTTGTTTTGTGAGAGACTCTGCAGGTTGTTGTCCGTCATTTTAAATTTCAATGGTAAAATCATTATTATTCATATAAACCACGCCCCCGAAATGGGTCTTTCACGTCAATCAAGTGGCGTGGTTTTTCACAGCTAATCTCTGGAATCTGATTGCAATCTTGAGCATGCGCATACAGACCTTTCAGGCCCCACTTGCACGAAACTTCTTAATTCTTAGTTCTCAATTCTCAGACTAAGTACGTGCTTAGCTGAGAAGTTCTCAAAATTGACTTTCTCAAACACGTTCTCAAATATTTGAGAACGTTCTCAACTAAGAACGTATTTCTCGTGATCTAAGCGGCCTCGCAGGGAACTACATTGTTTTAAAAGGAAATTTTGGTACAAAACTACGGGAAAACTGGTGTGATGATTTACCTTATTGGAGGTAAGTGTTTTGTAACATTGTTTTAATATTCTTGTTAAAATACATGTGTATTGCACGCATATATCGTCCGCTTATTTACGAAAATACTCAGCGAGTTGATTAATAACCGTTAAATTCTAGACGTCAAAGTCGGGTAGAAAATAGACAATTATTATGCAGCAGGTGTTTTAACTTATCAGCGGTTGCCGTCAGTTGAAAGTCGGAAAGAGGCTTTCAACGAAAAAGAGGGGGTGAGGGCATGCAATTAGACGTAACACGACAAGGCATCGCTAGTGGAAGAAGACATGCATTGTTTATACAAACTGAGGTGTCGATCATCAGAAATTGGATCATGGAGAATAGTGGTGAATTTGGCATCAAATCTCCGGTGTGCTTTCCGATCACAGGGGTTCGTTACAAATGTCTTTTACACATATGATATACTGATATGGGTCACAGTTTATGTGTGCTGTGACCCAGTCAATATAGCATATTTGTAACGAACCCCTGTGTTCCGATTGTGTCCCTCGGCACATGTGTAATATTACGCACGACGGATTGGCCAGTGTCATTTTGCGAATACCATAGTTCTTTTTACCGTGTCTGATATCGCCGATTTATTGTCACAAAAACAAAATAACACGATGATAGGACTTTTGTTTTCTTTCATCTTGGAGTTTGTATATAGGTATCATATAACTAAAGTTAAAAACCGAATGTTCCGTAATCCGCATGCTGAAATAGTTGGCCACCTAGACGAAACTTTAAAAGCCCAACACATGGAGAATGGTTTTCTTTTTATTTGCATGTTGACTAGTGTTGAGAAGATCTAGACCACACTCTTACAGCTTTAAATGTGCTAGGGATGTTAAATAAAGACATTGACACTAATGTCGAAACATTAGTGACTACAAGCATTTTAATGATGTTGAAGATTATGTCAGTCAATATTTATCAGTGCCATCTAATTTGATCAATTTTAGTGTATACAATGATTAGCTCTAGTTTCCGACAATAAATTAATTAACTTAATATGATTTGGTGATAGACTGATTATGATTAAATCCAAAATAAACTTAAATTCAAATTACATATCTTCCTATGTTACAGTTGATTTTTTATAAAGACCAATCAGACAATGATGAAATTATATATTTTGAAATTTTATATATGATACATCATACACTGTTGCAGGAAAACTATTACCACTGCTACCTTTTCTAGTAAATTCCATACAAAGTCTCAAAGTGAACATGGATATTTGAATTGGCCTCAATAAAACTCCAAGGGAGTTTGGAAAGTAAAATCTTAAAAGTTGTTTGAAAATGATATCCATGCCCTTCATATGCTCAAGTAAGAGATAAAGTTGTCCTATTATATTGATTCTAACCTGAGTGGACCCAGAGATTCAATCAAAATGAACTGTTACATGTTGTGGTTTTGTGCTGTGACAAAGCTTAATGGTACACCTAACCAAGTTTGTCTTTTTGACTAAGGATTGACATTTACAAAATGATGTTGGGGTGTGACCAACATTCACATATATACCAGTAAAATGATGAAATGATATGAAATATAAGTCAGTAGTAAAGTTAGATTTACAACCAAAAGAGGTAAAACTGCTATCATATAGTAAGAATTTTCACTACTGGTAACTTTCACATTATTCAATATTTGCTTTTTTTTCAAACTACTTTGTCACATCCCCAGGCCATAATACATGCTATATTGTCTCTATTTCTGTGTTACAGGGTTCACAGTAAGGGCTATGTACTATATATGCCTACTTTAATCAAATATGCATTACCCGATAGTTGTCAAAATATGCTGATTAACTCTGTACTTATGCCACTGTAATTTGGTAATCTTTGTTTCCAAATTTCATCATCAAATTGAAATATATCATCCCATTTCTTTACCTGTTAAAATACATGTAGTATCACTTTTACAAAATGAGCTATACAAATCTCTTATCCCTGTTTTATTTTTCAAAAACTTTTCTATATTTATTGGTATAAATGGATAGCTTACCTCTACATTTGACATATCTTGTTGTACAATATACTCTCTAATGCAGGTATTAGACCCTGGTACATGTATCATAAAACAAGTTTGTATTAATATCATAAATCTGTTTGAACTTTTGAAATGTGTAAATTGCATTAGTACTTCTGTCTCTGATTAGATCATTAATTACCATTATTCCTTTATTGTACCATTCTCTGTAAAATATACTTATATTTCCTGTTGTAATCTTATTGTTGTACCAGAAGCGCATATTTTTCCTTAATTTTTCTCCTCAATTTTTCTCCTTGCCCTAAGTACATCAATCCAAAAGAGTTTTATTTTTATTTTGACATTTTGTAATATAATCAGTTCCGCATTTTGCAGAATGATTTTATCACACTATAGTTTTAGCGATGAATACATTTTATACATAGTTTTACAAAAAAAAAAAAATGTAAAAAATATGCTTATATTATTCATACATTATATAGATTACTTCCCTTTATAAACTGTATAAGCAGAACTGTCATCTAAAGAAGTACATTGAAGAATGAAATTTTATTTTTACATTTTATACATTAATTTTTCGTTGTTAAGATTTATGAGTATGGCTCGGATGTGATTTGACAAATTGATGTTAACCACCTTAAGTTGTTTCTCAAAATAACCCTGTTCCCAGATCTTCATACAGGTTCAGTTAAATTCATCTACAGAGGGGCACCTGTTAAATGCATGTACAAAACAGACCCTTTTATGTACAGAGGGGCACCTGTAAATTACATGTAGAGTATGGCATCCGCTATATGTATCGTGGGAGACCTGTTATATATCACTAAAAATACTAATTTCAAAATGTGTAGCAATGTGGTCACCAATTTCATTAGTGTCTAATTGTAATTAATATGACAAATATATCCTTTTCTATTTCACATACAGATAGACCATTATAGTACCTTTAACTTTTCCTATTTAATATTTTTCAGGTATTTGACCTTCAGAAACCTTCAGCATCCTCTGCCACAGTTTGTAACTGAACACATGTCATCAGTGGATAGTGTTGTACATACATTGCTGATCAGTGAGTGTCGGGTTATAAGACTGTCTCATTTTGGAAGTTTACAAGAATAGATACTTTTGTTAATGTCTGAGATAATAAAAAAAGTCTGAATACCATAAAGTCTAACTGAAAATTTTGTTTGTGTCATTTTTATAAACTAAAATCAAAATTTGATATGGATCCTTGAACATGCATGTACCACCAACAAGAAGGAATATCTGAATAAATTTGACTTAACAAGAAAATAATAAAGACGGAAATATAGGGCTCTGAGTTAGTTTATCTCTAAAATTTAAACAGCACACACAAATATATTGAATGTGAAAACATGACTATCTAATTACACTTAACACCCAACCCCAAACGAAATTTAAAAAAATGTAAATATTAAGATAATGAAAATTATCAAATTATCAAATTATTTTTTTTATCAAGTAATCAGATATTTTTTTAGCTTTAAAATACTAGTTAGCAATTGTCAAAGTTAAAACACCTTGATAGATTATTTTTAAATT